AATTAATGATGGTGGTGATGGTAGTAATATAACATTGAAAACAACAGCAGACAATGAAATGAAAGAAATGCTTTTATAGACAGAGAAACAAACAGTCAAAGTGCAGGAACCTCTATTCCTTAAAGGACAAAACTATAAATATCTATTGCGTGCTTATCGTAATTTCTATTATACAATCAGACAGAAGGAATACCCCTGATTTCACTCACGAATCCCACTTGGTATCCCACGACGGGGTTAGGCCCGTATTATTTGTTTTTGTTTGTGTGCTTTCTTTGCCTTTGCCTTCCTGCTGCTGCTTCTCATTTTCCTGCTGGTTCTGCTGCTGCTGCTGCTGCTGCGTTGCAACAGCAGAATTCTCCAGGTCATTACCTACTACCTGCATCTCCTTTTTCCCTTGGCTGTCCTGGTTGTCCTGGCTATCTTCAGCAGGCTGCCTCTCGTACTTGTTTCCCAGCATGTTTCTGTTTTCGTCATTGTTATCGTTATTGTCATGTTTCCGCCGTCCATAAACCCAATGCCCGCTCTTCCCGCCCATCTTCTCAATCACCCGCGCATTCCCAATGACCATCCCCTTATCGACGGCCTTGCACATGTCGTAGACCGTCAGCGCCGCACCCATCACTGCCGTCATGGCTTCCATCTCGACGCCTGTCCGCCCGATGCAGGTCACGGTGGCCTTGATCTGCACGGACCCAAATCTGGATCGCTGTTTTGCTCGCTTTCGCTCTGGTTTTGGTTCTGCTGGTGCTGGTGGTCGCAGCCGGACGTCGACTTCGACACCCGTGATGCCGATGCTGGGATGGCAGAGCGGGATGATATCGGCTGTCTTCTTCGCGGCCATGATCCCCGCGATGCGCGCTGCGGCGAAGACGTTGCCCTTGCGAACGCGTCCCGAAGAGAGCAGCTCGTATGGCTTGTCGTTGGTGAAGTACACGCTGCACTGGGCCGTCGCGAGGCGTTTCGTGATCGCTTTGCCTTCGATCTTGGTCATGTGCACTGTCTGCTCCGGCGTGAGGTGAGAGAGATCGCGGTGCGAGTCTGAAGGGAGAGAGACGGTTGAATGGTCGCTCTGCGCTGGTCCGACGTTCGTACTGTAGGCACGGATTTGCGCATTAGATCCCATCCCTATCCCTGGAGGTAGGATGTGGACTGGGATTGAAGACGCTCGATGAAGAGTGCCTCGTGCTAAAGAGTTTACGTTGCTGACCTTGCTGACAGGGACCGGCGTCTCATCTAGTAAGCCTGTCAGCGAGTTTGAACCTGAAAAGGCAATTTCATATTCATATATCATATCAAAAGGACAGTTCTCATTCATGAAAATGCATCGATTCATAAATGTCATAAAAAATGTCATAATACCCATCCCATGCAAATAGCCAAATACATGCAGTCATCAACCATGACAGGACCCGTTACGCCAGACCAGAATATAATCATGATCATGATAATGTAATATAATATATATGCCTACCCACCAATTAGAATCATCGGCCGGTTCCTCATCTTCTCCAGCTCGCCCATTCCGGCGTGCTTCGCCTTCTTGCGCTTCACCGCCAGACCTATCACGTTTAGCAGCTCTCGTTCGCGCTCGCCCACAGTCCCACCCTCGTCGTGGATTCGAGCCGCCTTGCGCGCGGATTCGAGCAGGTTCAGCGACTCCATCGCCTCCTGGTCGATGGGCTGGCCGTTGTTCTCCTTTCTGATCAGGTCGCGCAGAGACACCTCCGCGTTGCCGTGAAGACAGACCTTCAGATTCCCATCCGACGTGATGCGCAGCCGGTTGCAGGTGCCGCAGAAGTTGTCGGTCATGCTCGTGATGAATCCGACACGGCCCTCAAACCCGGGAACCCGATACGTCTTGCTCGTGTCGTTCTTCTGGTCGGGCACTTTCTCCAGGGCCGGGTATTTCTCCCGGATGATGGCCAGCATCTCTCGATACGGGACCATCTTGCCCTGGCTCCACTTGTTGCCGTCAAACGGCATGTACTCGATGAAGCGCACGTCGATGGGTTTCTCCCGGCCCAGCTCGACAAAGGGGATAATCTCGCGGTCGTTGAGGCCGCGCATGACGACGCAGTTGATCTTCAGCTTGATCCCCGCGCCCAGCTTGTTCATCTCCAGGATGCGGTCGATGCTCTTCATCACGGCATCGAACCCTTTCCGCCGGGTCATGATCTGGAACTGGAACGGGTCCAGCGTGTCCAGGCTGAGGTTCACGCCCGTCAGGCCGGCCTCCGCCATCGCGTCCAGTTTCCGGTGCAGAGAGATGCCATTCGTCGTGATACAGAGCTCCCGCAGCCCGTCGCGCCGGAGATCGCCAATTGCCCGCATCATCGGAATGATATCCTTGCGCACCGTCGGCTCGCCGCCAGTCAGCCGGATCTTTGTCACACCCTGGGAGACGAACAGGGCGGAGAGGTATACGATCTCGGGGGTCGTGAGGAGGTGCGCGGGCGGCGAGAGCGGAACGCCTTCCTCAGGCATGCAGTACAGACAGCGGAGATTACAGCGCTCGGCGATGCTGATGCGGAGGTAGTCATGCTGGCGGTGGAAGGTGTCGGTGAGGAATTCGGAGAAGGGTTTTGCGGATTTGAGGGCCGCTTGCCGGGACGAACGGGGAGAGTCAGAGACGGGGGCATAGACCGGAGAGGAAACATCAGTTGCTGGAACGCCATAGGCACTTGCTGTGCTGGTGCTCTGTCGTCGGATCTGTGAGATGGAGATGGTCAACTCGCCAGGACTGCGGGGATGAGCCGCCCCCGCGAGCGACACGAGACGCGATGCTGCGCGCCTCTGCAGGAAGGACGAGGCCATCGTAGCAGACCGTTTCTAAATCAACAATATACGACATGATCCTCGATTGCCAGAAAAAGAGGGACTGCGGCATGGTCGAGAGATACGAGTTGCTTTAGATATTTATCTGGGAGCTCCTCTCCACATCTTGTTAGTCAGAGCTGATAAGCCAATCACAAGTCGTCACGGTGGAGGGGAGCGCGGATCAACACGGAGATCGCCGATAGAGACAAGATAATTCGATACAAAGAAGATAATTCAATACAGACAAGATAATCGATAATTCGATCCAGAATACTTGATGAAGCATACCGTTTGGTGTTGTGGTGGGGAACCACCAATCGTGGAATATTATTACTGAAGCAATTCATAAAGACATCTCCGCGGAGTTGCAGCCCGTGGAGATTGGCAATCTATTCCATGAGACATTCAGACCAGAGAAGCACATTGCCTAGTGATCCAGAGCAGTAAGCCGAAGAGTTGCTCAAACTTTAGATAAATCTCGAAAACATTCCTGCTAAGTATTGCAAGACAGCATCCTCCGCACTCTGTTCTCCAACCCACGCTCAAACTGTTCGACACCGTCTGCTTGCTCAATTAGCTTCCCTCCTTTCAAAACACAGACAACCCGTCGTCGGGGCTGGCTCTCATCAACCTGTTCATCCACTCCCTCGAAGCCTTCGTCTAAGCGGGCTTCAGGCTCTCGTTTCCCTTCGATGACGGACCGCACCAAGAACCGATCGTGCGACACGATCAGGATGGCGCCGCTGAAGGTCGACAGAGCAGAGGCCAGGGCCGTGACGGTGTGGAAGTCCAGGTGCGTGGTGATCTCGTCCAGCACGAGCAGGTGCGGTGGATTCCAGAGGATCTTGGCCAGGGCGAGACGGACCTGAGAGCACTCATTAGCAGGAGATCGACTACCAGGTGAATGTTTTCTTTTTTTTTTACCTAATTTGACCACCCGACAGTCGACAGGCAGGCACATCTGATGCCGTCCTCCCAGCCAGACCCAGCGAGCTCAGAAGTCCTCTCAGCGCTCCTTCGCTCAATGCTCCCCCGACCTCGCGCATCATCAACGACAGCGCTGTCAGTTCTGGTTCGGCGTGACCTTGCCTCTGAAGGTCTCCGACCGCGTTTTGCGCGTAGTACCCGATCTTCAGTCGCGGATGTCGAGTCGTCTTGCCCTGAGAGGGCTCCATGCTCCCCGTCAGGATTTGGAGCAGCGTCGACTTGCCGCAGCCATTGAGGCCCATGATGCCCACCCGATCGCCGAGATGGATCACCAGGTCGACTCCACTCAGGACGGGCGTATCATTCCGCCTGTATCGAAACACGATCCCTTCCAGAGAGATGAGCGGGCCTGGAAACCGCAGATCAGGCGCGTCAGGGAAGGCGAAAGTCACCCCCTTTTCGTCCTGGGGGACCTCGATCTCCGCACGACGCTTCTCATAAAAGCCGACGAGATCCCGATTCAATTTGAACCGTCCCCCTCTCGCGCTGACCTGCACGCCCATGCGGTCATCGATCTTCTTCTGCCGCGACTTGGCCATCCGCAGCTTGGCGTCGTCGCCCGTCTTCTTGCCATGTTTGATATTCTCCCGGATCGTGGCCTCCATGTGCGCGATCTGTCGCTCCTGCGCCTCCTTCATCCGCGACCAGTACAGCTTCTGCGCTTCGAAGTTTGCCTCGTAGGCCGCCAGGTTGCCGCGGAAGTACGAGAGGGACCGGTCCCGCAGGATGATGAGCTCTTCGCAGGTGGCGTTGACAAAGTCGCGGTCGTGGGAGACCAGCACGAGCGTTGTGTCGGACGAGTCGCGCAGCTGTTTGAGGTAGTTCTCGAGCCAGATCACGCCGAGCAGGTCGAGGAAGTTGGTAGGCTCGTCGAGGATCATGATGTCGGGGTTCTGGATCAGAATGCCGGCCAGCATGCACCGCATCCTCCAGCCGCCGGACAGGGTACAAAACGGCACGTCGAGCGAGTCTTCTTTGAAGCCTAGTCCGAGCAGCACCCGTCTGGCTTGCTGTTCGATGTCTACAGCTTTCATCTGAGCTATCTCAGCGTCTCTCCTTACTCGTGGAAGTTTCTGGGCCTACCGTCTCATACTGCGACTGCAGATCCTCTAACAGATCAACGGCAGCCTGCGTCTCCACCCTGATCGATTCCGTGTCTATGTCTGCTCGATTCTGCTTCAACCTACTTCAATCTTAGCCGAAATCCATCAAGAGAGAATTGAATAACATACCGTTCCAGCGAAGCGGCCACCTTGGCCTCGACAGTCTTCAGCTCCTTTCTCGCGTGGAGTCCGCGCGTCCCACTGCGGAGGTTTGCATTCTTCTGCGCCAGAAAAAGCTGTTTCTCAAGCTGCTCGTGACGAAGTCTTCTGACGGCCAGAACTGGAGCGAGGGGGTCTTCGCCTTCCAGACTTGCGGCCAGAACTGGAACAGACATCAGCATGTAGGAGCAGAACCTACGAGTATGCTCCATACTTACTGTTGATTTTCCGTCGAACCTCATTCCTGAGATGATCGCTTGCCAGGACTTGCTGCAGGACTGTCCTGCCAGCCTCAGCGACAGCGGCATTTTCGTCTTCGCGGAAGGTATTTGTGTCTGGCAAGACCTGCTCATCTTGAATTTTTGACGACGAGTCTATCTGCTGCAGAATCGCTATCCTCGTCGCGTAGGAGATTCCCGGTATGAGCTTCTCAGCCATAGCGCGCAGGATAGCTGGAAATGCAAGTATCAAAACTAGCGGTCAGCATCTATCCATCTACCATCAAGCAAGCCCCTGTTTAATAAGAAGTCAAACGCACTTGACTTCCCACTCCCATTCCTCCCGACCAGTCCATAATGCACCCCAGCTTTGAGACGCAGGTCAGCGTTCGAGATCAGCTCGACGTTGCAACCTGCTTCGTTCTTGGCTTTCGGTTTGCTACCGCCCTTGGACTTGGAAACGACGACAATAGTAAGACCTTGAACATCGACCTTATCACTCACAACCAGACAATCAGACAATGTCAGTCAATCAGATATGATAACATTATGCATGTATGTATGTACAGTACATAGGTAGAAGAACATAGAGGTATTACCTCCTTCGAAGGCCTATCATCCAACAAATGAAAACGCGTCTGCTTGCATGTTGCGATGATGGCTGGTTGTTCGTGGTGGTCCATCGTTTTTTTTCCCCTTAGTATCTATTGCACTGTATGTGTATACACTATACACAGGCTGGAGGAGAAGCAATAGAGAAACTAGAAGAAAGAAAAATAGAGAATCTCAAGAGCAGAAATGGGAAAAAAAAAAAGTAAAAAACAAAAAAATATCAAAAAAAAAAAAAAGAAGACAAAGTGTACTACATATACCATTATACATGTATGCAGTAATAGACTTTGCACGAATAAATACTGCTTTGCGAACTATCATCGATCACTTAGCAATTCATCTACAGTATATATACCACCCTGAAAAAAAAATAACATTATACGAACAAGGCCACTAATTAAATCAAAGACTTTAGCTAATATTCATTTGATAGGAGGTTGATAAATAGTATTATTCTGCATACTCCGTATGTAGTAAGAATGACTCATCGTGAATCATTTCCTTTCATTCTTCGCTCAGAAAAACAGGCGGACAGGAAGACAAGGCTAACAGACACCATGCAGTAGCACGTCCATGCTATGCTAATGTCCTGGAATTAAAAAAAATAAATACAATATTCAATACATTGAGGGTGTCTGAAGAAGATGAATGAAAGAAAGAAAGACCATAGATTATATGCATATGAATGAATGGGGGAAGGGACCAGGGTGATAGCCTAACCTTAACAGAAGTACTAAACCCTAAGCCCTAGTGAAACTTAACTGGACTGATTACATGTATGTAGGTACCTAGGTACATCCTAGATGGATGGAGGCAGGATTTTATCATAGTACTCTTTACTCTTTACTCTTCGGTTTTTATTCTTCTCATCATACGTACTCGTTTGTATTCACGGATTGTCGTGTACTGTACATACTGTCCTTTCGAAGATATACAATGTAAAGGGCGATACCATCTGATCAAAAAGAAAATATTATGTTCGTATATTATTCATGATTCATAACTATGACGACAATTCTGTCGCTATGGTAGATATGTCAATTTCAAATCTCCTCAGGCAATCTCGGAGATGGGCTAAAGACAAAAGAAAGTGAAGAAGAAAAGAAACACCTCTCAACGCCCGCTGATTCGCCAACGCCTTGCCCAACGACAAAACGACAATCATCATCATCATATCGTCATTTTGGATGACATGAATCGAATTGAAGAAATGAGAGAAGGGGATATGTGATGAGATGAGATGAAGTGGAGAAGAGAAGAGAAGGGAGAAAACAAAACGAAAAAAAAACAGCAGAGGGACGACCATGCTTCGTTTCGTCCCGTTCCAATCGCGAGGCTCTAACTGTGCTTCGTGTAGCATCCCTTACACCGCAGCATCACCTTATCGCTAATCGGCCCGTACACCTGCGGCGACGCGCCAAACACCTTGCCGCAGTTCCGGCAGTTGTGGTGCGACACCAGCATCTCCATCAGGTGCGTGTCACGCTTCTGCAGCTTGGTCAGCGACTCCTTCAGCTGCTGGCTCTCGGCCCGCTTGATCTCCAGCACCGCCGTGCGCTGGTCTTCGACCGCTTTGCGCGACCGCAGATCCGCCTCGTCCTTGTACGCCCGCAGCAGCTCCCAGGTGCACTCGCCGAATTCACACAGCACGTTCGCCATCTCGCTCTGGCCAAGCAGATGGTCCAAATTCTGCACGCAGTAGTCGATCAGGATCGGTCGCAGGCCGGGATCTTTCGACGGCGTGGACTGGTACACCGTCCGGATGATCTCGGGGATATCCAGATTTTCCACGGGCGTGCGAGTCAGCTGGTTGCGGAACATCTTCGACGCAACCTCCTTCAAGTCGCGAATGTCGAACTTGTCTCCGCTCGCGTACATGTGCACGTGGGCCAGGATGTCCGCCGTCGTGGCAGGTCGGCCCTTGCGTCGTCCTTCGTCGTCATTCTCCGAGTCCACGGAGGAACCACAGCTGCCCTCTGCTGGTGGGCTTTCTTTGAGACCGTAAGTCACTACTCTATAGAAAAAGGCTCGATAGGAAAAGGAGAGGTCTGAACTCACCAACTTCCTCCGACCCCGCAATCTTGTCCGTCTCGTAGATCCCCGTGTAGAGAAACGTCAGGACGGCATGGAACACATCCGGATCCTCATCCACCAATTCCAGCCGCTTCGAGATCCCCTCCTTAAAGTTCTCCTTGCACATGGTCCGGAAATAGCTGGACCGCGGACAGATGATGATGCGGTGGACATTGAACTCGCGGCCACCGCAGACGATCACAAAGTCGGAGTATTCTCCGGACTCGAGAAAGCGACCCCACATGGCCACCCCCGGTTTCCAATCAATCCCAACGCCTTCGAGAACCATGAGCAAGAATGAACAAGATGGGTGTTGGACGGAACGAAGAAGAAGTTTGCAAGTCACTCACCTGGCTGTAACACACACGTGACAACCTGATAAGGAGGCAGGCAGTCTGCGAGCGCCAATCACAGGGAAGCAGGGCGGAGCGGAGATGGACGCACGTCGAGCCGTGATTGGCGCGCTGCTGCTGTTCTGGACGAGATCGAGTCTGAGAGACGAGAGCAACGCTTCCAGCTGGCGTGGAGGAGAGGACTGCTTCTGCTGATGCTTCGTGGGCGGCGGACTAGATAGGTGGCAGTTGTCCGGCAGAAAGAGCCCTCATTGCTGATGAAGAGAACCCGGATCGCAGAATCACGTCAGGAATCGGCTATGGATGCTGCTAGAATCTCGCCCAACCCGCAGGAAGCCGGTGGGAGCAGAAGGTGTTCCAGTTTGCAGCGTCCGTGGCTCTGTCAAACCAGTGCGGTCTGCTTTGCAAGTGTGTTAAAAAGACAGACGATGGATTGAAGTTATTGAAGTTATACTGGTACTATGCCCTTAATGAAAGCAGACACCCACGCGACCAGAGCACCGCGTCTATGAGACGAGAAAGCCAAGCCAAGCGGGGGAGGCGGTGCAGAGCGGGGCTTCAGCCTACAGAGCAGGAGAAACATGGAATCAATAGCAGTGATGAATAATTATTTAACTAGACAACTACGGCTTGGCTATTAGAACGACCAGGCATGGGGGTCTTGGCCGGCGGAGGTGTCAACTGCCAAGCCAGCGCCCAGAGTCGTGACCAAGAGCTGGCAGCAAGCTGAATGCTGGTCCAGACAAATGACGGGACTGGGCTGTCAGTGAGTTGTCTGCCGAGAAGACCCTCTGCCTGCTAGCAAGACCTCGGCCATCTAGCTCTATCTCACGCCATCCTGACTGGTCGATGCGAGAGCATGGCGGCTCTTGGCGCTGCAGGTCAAAGGTCATCGAGGGGCCAGATCAACACAGCTGTGGCATCACGGATCATATCAATCTGACTGCAATGCAATACAGGCAGTTTTCTGTCCAGAAAATGTCCATGATCCTGTGCCTGGAGACAATGAGGCATTTGTTGTTGTTTTTCTTACGTCAATGTTGACACTCCACAGTCGAGGTGGGGGCTTCTTATGTCATTTGTTATCGAGAGAATGCCTGGATGGAACTGGAAAATCGTTAGCCAGCAACCACGGTACAACCGTCAACATCCCCACTTTGGAATCACACGTCACATGAAAGAGCAGAAGAGCGTTGCAACTTGGCGCTGGCGAGTGGTGAAAAATAGCAGCCTTGGCAGACATCTGTTTCATCGTTGTCTTCTCAGAAGCTGAGCATGTCAAATGCAAGTATAGACACAGACAAGACCGTTACTATTCGCAGGAGAAACCTGTATTCCGTGATCCGCCTGATCGGCGGGAGCCAGGTCGGAGCCTCGGATAGCTGCGGATTGTCCCGTCCCAGCTGCTAGCTAGGACTGGAAACAAGCTGATTCGCCGTGGACTGGTCTACAGAGTAGAAATGCTCTCATTGCTGGACTGCTCGAAACACTTCCAATCTCGTCCGTTGTCTCCCTGGTCGAATTGCCGTATCGCGATTCCGCCCCTTGACAATAATGTGCTGGCGGAAGAGGCTCTCGTAGGAAAACCAGTCGAAGAGCCGCTCGTATCGAAGGCTCATTCGGACTGCTGCATTTCCACTCAAACCGGCGGTACCCCAGGTCCGAAGACGTACCGTCCTAAACTCCTAGTAGGTAAATCCCCTCGGTAGTAGCGGTGGTCCGCTGGTCCGCTGCAGAGCGGAAGCGAAGAAGAGATTGCCGACTTCCATGGCGCGCTGTTCCGGGCTGATGCGGAGCAGAGAGACGAAGCTGACCGCTTTGCCCTCACTCTTATCGTCTCCACTGCTCTTCTTCTTGGGACGATAACCCCCCAGATTAGAGGGTCCCCCGACTGGGCCTTGGCGGTGACGGTCACGAGGCTAGGAATTGTTCGACATTCGTAAAAGGTATTCTCGTTCCCGCTGACGAGGGGGTATAGTTCGTCAGCATGCGATTGCAAGAGCAGTTCGAGAGTGACGGTACGGCCGTGCAGCGTGATTCGCGATGGACGGGGAGCGGGAGTGGTATGGGATGAGGGGACGGACTCACTCAACCATACAGATTCAGAAATGACCAGGGAAATATCTGCAAAGAGGTGAGAATAGTCGAGACGATAGAACGAACAATCGAGTGAAGCTCAGCGTATCCGAATATGTAGAATTCAATCGATCGAGGTTGCGCCAGGCCGGGAGATCTCAATGAGTGAAGAATCGCTCGATATGTGCAGACAACGCCATGTTGCGAACAGGTAGCCAAGCAAAAAAAAAACACCAATTATGCTGTCATCAATTAGCCTTATTGTATCAATCAAAACATTTAAATAAATTCATCTTTGTCGATCGTCGCAGAGTTTGATAACTGTGTGAACGTTGCCGCCTGATAGCATCCGGCAGAGAGAAAGGAGATAGGTATATATTTCCCTCGCATCCAACTTCCTGTTTTGTCAACACCCAAAAAGAAAACCGACAGTAGGACAGTAGACCTGATTTCTACTCTGTAGATCAACGACAAAAGACGATAAGAAAGAGGAAGAAATTTCTGAAATGAAAAGATCCATGTCACAATAATAGTTGTTTCCTGAAGAATTGGCAGATATATAACTAAGTACTAGCTAGAAAATTTTGGCATGACGAATTGAATTAATTAACACATTCCTTTATACTGAAGAAAATAAAGGTGGGAGGAGGGAGAAAGCAGTGAGAAATAAATAAATAAATATATATATATATATATATATATCTCAAGAGTCATCCAAGAAGACAACGATACGGATGGATTGTTGTCTCTGTGAAACGTTACGGAACCCAAATCTATCCTAGTACGGAGTATATGCTTTGTTTAATTGCAGCTTATACACTAGGAATGGAATTTATATAAAAAATGGATTTAATTCCATTTTGATAAGCTATAACGCCCAACTTAGCAAGACTGGAGACAATGGTAGCAGAAGAAAAAGAATCTGAGAAATCGTGCGTGATGAAACCACAATGATGAACGATTTCCTGTCATTTTGCAGGATGGCAAAGGGAATAGTTACGCATGAGCAAAACCTAATGCTCAACCAGACAATCTTTGTCCAGTCAATCGATCATGGTAGCAGATCCTCGACCTGCACAATCACAACCATTACCTTCTGGACATCAATCTTCCTCGTCTATAGCCCTCGAACACGCGTCAGAAGAAGCTGCATGTGCTATCGTCCTATTCCGTATGTCTCAGATTTGCTGTTTTCTCGCCATGAGGACCACGACATAGGAGATCTAATTGAAACAGGTTTCGTGCCAGCAACGGGATACTCCCGACACTTTCAGCTCAGCCATTGGCACACGTGTCGATCAGAGCCATGAAACTTCTGGTGGAAGCTTGATTCAGGGGAAACATGACCTGATGCACGGAGTACCCCTGGATCGGGATCTTCTGCTGAAGCCAGGCCCATTTCTGTGGTCCTGTATACTCGTCGAGAGCCAATAAATAGAAAAATCCTTGTACGGGATCGCTGTCACTAGTAAACGAGGGACGCCCAAACGGGATGAAGCGTCGGACGTGTGGCATCCATTGGGTAGATCCCAGACGAGGCGGGTGGAAGCTTCGTCAGCCCTGCCCTCTAGCTGCATACTAGTTGGTCATTGCAGCGGCCATGCCCATTTTTTTCGGCGGTTGTTGGACTCCACGCTCTCCATCGTTGAGCTTCCTTTGAAAAGATGAATGGCTATGCATGAGATCCGGTATGTTGATCTGTTGTTAGTGATCGATTGATTGAAACTTTGGCTGTGGGGATTATGGATGGTGTGCTGGCAGGACTGTATTCCAGGGGAACGACGACTTCGGTCTAGTCTCGGCCCGAACAGAAGAAAGAGTCAGAATGAAAATCTCAGACAATGCGATGAATAATACCGTCTGTGCCTTTCTCTGAAGAGGTTATACTGCCAGGTCACAGTCATGATGTTGGCTGGGTTGGCATGTCCTCCCTCAACATCCCTACCAGAGATCGGACAGCATGCAATTACCTGGATTGAGTAGGTTAAGTAACGAGCCACTGGGCTGCGCCTCGCCGTTAAGACTGATATTTATGGCACACGGCGAGGATTCCCGCTGTCGTCCGATGGGAAGGGCTCCGCAGTTCAGGCGAGCTGGGCAGAAGGACAAAGGCTGCAGGCCCTAGGCAGGAAAGTAAGCACATGAGAAAAGGAGTATACAGCTGTGTACCTAACCTAGCGGATCCTTTCCTTGGAGGCGACAGGCTACTCGAAAGTCAAACAATTCAGCAAAACCTTATTGCCAATAGCCTTCCATCTCCAAAATTATGGATAAAACGTCTATCCAGGCGCAGAGGGCGTTCGTAACCCACCCCAAAACAGGACTAGTCAGTCAAGAATTCTTCACGATCGATGGAATGCTCGCCACGTTAGAGGAGTGGCTGAGCGCCCCGCGATTGTGTTTATTCTCCCGCAAAGAGGGATAGAGATCGATCCAGCTTCTTAATAAGCAAGATATAAGATCACGAGTCTAGAACCCGTAAAATAATGATGATAAAAACAAGTACCTGTTAGAGGACCAGCAAATGGAATCCCAATTGGCTATTTGGTACGCAGGAGTCGTGTGCAGTCGTGGCGGAGGGCTGCGAATAAGGTTCTTTTTGGTATCTTCTCTATTATTGGTCACGGATGGGGACTGGACTGAAAAACATTCTTCCGTCGCTGCCAAGAGAGTCTGAAATTTCAGTCTGGAACGCAGGTTGGCGGACGAGTCAAGACTCGACAAGCCTTGTGAATCCAGGGAGCGGTTTGTGGAGAAGCCCCTGTGTGGCCAGGAGTCGAGACTCAACCATGGGCCATTGCCCAGAGGTTCCCCCAATAGTAATAATAAGAAGAATTATAAGGCAATTGACTAATAACTACGGAGTAGACACTGCAGGTGCGGTAGGTTAAATAGCGAACCAAATTATAGTCTGTCCGTAAATCCATGCATTTAACTAGTTATGGTGTCCTTTGTAGGGTTTGTATCGATCTTTTGAGGATCTTGCCAAAGCTGTGGAGTGATACGATCAGCGTGAATCCTGGTGATCTTTGAAACAGACGTGAGACGGTTCTCGCATGCCGGCCCGAAGCCCTGAACATCGCCCGTTTTGGGTTTGGTCTGCTGGGTCGCTAACCCAATGGGGCAGGCAGCGCCGAATCCGAGGCATAAATCGAATAAATCCGACATAAAATAGAACATCAAAGCCTTCAAGATTTACGATCACTTGGTAAGGGTCAAGAGATTGAATATCATTCTGTGGAGGTATTCTGCTCTCCCAACAAGCATGGGTTATACTCTGCAGCGTGAAGATACAGAGTAGATCTGACAATAGAGTCGTCTAAGATGGAGGTAATAATACTAAGAACAATGCCTGCATAATCCTCGAACGGGGCTGCTGATCAGGAGTCTACTCCGTGGCGCTTACCTGATCCAGTTTAGACCCCAAGCTTGGATGGAATCCGATGGATCCTTTCTCCGGAGCCTGGCAGGAGTCGAGACGGTGAGGCAGTGGCTTGACGGGCGTCTGTGTGGAATCGTCTCAACGCAGTTCGGCAGAAGCAGCAGAATCGTGCCATGTGTCCGCACGCCTCTCTTATGCTGCTGCCTTGGATGCTGTGGCTGGTCGCTCGTACTCGGCTGAGCAGCCCATCAGCGACGAGCGCCGTGGCTCAGTCGGCCGGGGGGGGGACGCGCAATCCTCTGCTATTCTTGGAGCCTAGAGGGCTGCTAGCGGCCGTTAGCCCATAGGTTAAGCTGCGTCTCTCCACTCATCCTCATCCACCGCGAGGACAAGCATCGATCGGGCCTGCTCTGTTCCAGGGTTGACCCTTGGCTGGGCCTGTTTTGTCGCCGACTCGCCGGCCCCTCGCTGCCGGACAAAACCGCCCGATCCGGTAGCCGCGCTCCTGCTCGCTCGCCTGCTGGCCCCTGCCCGCCAACATCTCCCTGGCTCCCCGTTCATTCATTATTATCCATCTGGCCCCTTCCTCTCGCTTGCTCTCTCTCCTGCCTGCTGTTCTTCAGTCCTTTCGCTCTCCCGTCATTCCCTCGTCCCTCGTCGATTGAATCCCCGACACGACATACCCTCCTTCGGTCTCTGAACCAGTCGACAATGACCTCTACTCTAGGCGAGCTGCCCTCCGCAGCCGCCTCGTCCGCCTCCCCGCTCCCCAACCTCAATGCCTCCTACGATGCCGATCTGGACGCCTTCCTCAACCTCGACCAGCTGGCCTACTCGTCATCCGATTCCATGAAGTCCAAACCCTCCCTCGTCTCGCAACCATCGATGACCGGCTCCGACACCAGCTCCAGCGATGCTAGCAGTGCCGCGTTCGCTGCCAGCACCCAGTCGCAACAGATGCCCTTCCCGGGCCCCAGCCATCAATACGAAGATCACCAGCAACAAACCGGTCTCCCACCAGGTGGCCTCGCGCATGCCATGGCATTCAACCAGACGACAGGCATGGGTTTTGGTGCTGGACACCAGGGCTACACCATGAACGGAGATGTGTTTGCCAGCCCCAGCAATCTGAAGCAAGAGGACACGTCCGTCGACTTCGGAACGGCCCCCTCGCGCAACCCGTCAGAGATGGATGTCGAGGCGGACAACTTCAACGCGCTACCCTACTATTTCCAAACCAGCAACGGTGGCAGTAACACCCAATTCATCGATCCAAATGCGCTGGGTGGCCATGAAATGTCTCCGGTTGGACAACCCACCACCCAGGTTGGCCGCATGTATCCAGGCATGCACCAGCAGCAAGCCGCCATGGCGAGGGCTGCTCAACAGCAAAGGCAACAAGAAATGCTTCGTCAACAACAGCAACGTCAGCAGCAGCAGCAGCAGCAACAGCGACGTGTGGAGGAACAGGCCCGACAGGCAGGGCGTCAGAATCGGAGTACGCGCCCGGTGGATCCTGTCGTCGAGGAACGTATCTCCCGTCTGTTGCAGCAGATCAGACAGAACAGCGCCGTTCGCCGTGAAGATCTGCCACCACCACAACCTCCCGTTCTCCCGCAGATGACCAAGCAGAAGAAAGACGAGGACGAGATGGACGAAGATGAGCGACTGCTGGCCAGCGAAGAAGGCAAGAAACTCAGCAGCAAGGAACGACGCCAGTTGCGCAATAAGGTCTCTGCTCGTGCGTTCCGCTCCCGGAGAAAGGGTATGTTTTTTTTTCAAAGTTTCAAATGTCTATGTCTGACCGTTTACTAACGATGTCCCGCAGAGTATATCAGTCAGCTGGAAAACGAGGTCGCGGCCAAAACCACCGAGACCAACGAATTGCGCTTGCAGAACCGTGCCCTTCTTGAAGAGAATGCACGCCTTACGGATCTCACCCGCATGCTTCTATCGTCTCCTCACTTTTCGGATTTCCTGAACGATCTCACCGTGAACGGGTTGCCTCCGCAGCTCCAGGCATCACCGCGGGTCTCTCAACCACAGCCCCCTCAACCACAACCGGTTGCATCTCAGGCTCCCGTAGCCCCCAACCCTCACAAGGACGTCAACCCGCACCGCGCAGCCCAAGATTTCCAGGTCCACCAGAACCTCCAGGTGGGCATGGCCATGGTTCCAGAGCCTAGCATGGGCATCCATGGACCTGGCTGGAACTCGGGGATCGATATGGACTTTACCAATGCTCCTACCGTCTTCGCTGTCTTGGAGGTTCCCGAAGGTCCTGCCATCGATATGGACTTGCTGTCGGGCAAGTCATCCAACTTTGTTGACTTGGCCCCCGACAGCGCCAAGGATGAAGTTCCTTGTCTCGAACGGCCCCCGGTCATGGAGACGGCGCAAGCCGAATCCAAGACCACCGGTGTTGCTGATCCCAGTATTGAGATTGATGAGTCGGATCCTTCCTTTGCTTTATTCCTTGACGAGGCGCCAGCGACCTCCCAGTCCTCCTCGGAAATTCCTGACGATCTCTTTGGTGGGATCGATCCAGAAAAGGTGTTTGCTCATTACGAGCTTGTTGTCGAGGATGAATCTGCCGACGTCAGCGCTGCTACAATGCATCGTCTTGAGCGCCTGTGCGCCAGCATGGAAGCCGCTTATCAACGCGTGTCAATGATGACATCTCACTTGTTATGAACGTTCCTTTTGACTACGTGATTCTCGCTGAGGTCTGCAGTACAATCTCTTCGACTTTCTTTTGTTACTTCTGTTTGTCTACCTTCTTCTCTCATATGATTGAAAGGTCTGTACTGGTTGTCTGTTTCGGGCGTTTGGGCTATATATAGGGATTGTCAAAACAGTGAAGGGAAATGTTCTGGGTTTGGGTTCTTCTGTTGTGGACGGATAGGGTACCGATATATGTGTGTCTATAACACGTCATCCGAAATGAAATCTGTATTGAAGGAATTAACATGGATTCCGTCTCTAGAACGTAAATCACCGTTTCCTAATTTCATAGCTTCGTAGTTGCGTGGAGCTGTAGAGGAGGAGCCTGTCGAGGACAAGCCGGCATCGTTGTTAGGTAATTGGTCACGGGTCCTCCGTCGATCATCCGCAGACCAAGAAAAAAAGTTGGCGGGCGCCTGTGCAAACCACAACATTATTCCAAATTCACCCGTTTCACTCTCGGAGCAATATCTCTCATACTAATCCAGGTCTGCAATGCCCTCTGTTCTTGAATGATTCTCAGAGCTTCCCGGTAATCGTCCCGAGCAGTCACATTGGCTTCCCTGCGCAGATCTGGGGGCCTTTTCTCGACGGCCTTCCGCGAGGAGACTCTGCAATCTCCGGCCGCAGTGTTGCTTCAGGCGATTGTGCTGCCTCCCTGCAGGTTCCACGGGCTTCGCTGGAGCTTATCCAGATCCTTCAGAACTTCTCGCCGTGGTGCTAAGCCGAGGGAGCCGCCTCTGGCGGAGAAGCAGTCTGTCTTGGGCCCTAACGTCCATGTCTTTCCAGCACCTCGATTAGAGAACACCACCAAATATTCGCCGAACAGATACCTCATCTACGACGCGGACTCGCGTCCGGACACGGGATCGGAAAATTCGCCTGGCTCGGTGCCGCTACATAAGCCTATGAAGTTCTTCTACCAGATCCTTACAACCCCGACCGCCGATACTCCCGGTACCTCCATCCTCCTCAACTTCCCCGAGAAACGGTACCTTTTTGGTCACGTATCCGAGGGCACGCAAAGAGCGTTTACGGAGAATGGCGTCAGGCACTCCTACCTGTCTGAAATCTTCATCACCGGGCGGATTGAGTGGGCCAATACTGGAGGACTGCTAGGCGTGGTTCTGACTCTGGCAGACTCCCACGCCAGTTCCACCGCCGCGCTGGAGGATCAGGAAAGAGAGAAAGAGGCTCGTCGCCAGGCGCAGAAGAAGTCCGAGTCAGCGACTACACAGCTGCAGGCGGCAACGATCAAGGATGGCTCGCCCGAGTCGTCGCACGAGCCGACGCACGAGCAGAGGACCGCTTTGACGATTCATGGTGGAAGGAACATTGCGCACACTGTGGCAACTGCGCGAAGGTTTATCTTTCGGAAAGGGTTACCGCTGTATACGAAGGAGTATGGGCCGGACACTCCGTTGCCTCGGGATGTCAACGAGAAGGGCGACCCCTTCGAACAGCCTACGTGGTCGGATAACCACATTAAAGTGTGGGTAATGCCGGTTATGCCCACCTCTGCGAACCCCGCGGGCGTACCACAGAGCCAGCCAAAGAGCCCGAGGAAGAGAAGTCTGGACGAATTCGAGGAGCGGACCTCCGACACCGACACGCTTGACCAGCGTGTTAAAGACCAGCTGATGCGTGAAAGTGTGGTGACCAACATGTTCAACTCAACGTGGCAGCTGGATTCACTGGTCGAGATGCCTTTGTCTAGCGTCCGAATGCCCGCGACCATTTTCGTCCGGAATCCCGAGACCAAAGACCTTGAGCGGTATACTGGCCCAATGCCCGGGGGCGATGAGCCCCTTCCTGATATCAAGGTCTTTGTTCGACTTCCATGGCCAGGAGCACTGATCGAGAAGCTTCCACCGACGAGTCGAGCAGAGGAGGCGATTTCCTATGTCGTCCGGAATCATGACCTGAGAGGGAAATTCGATCCTAAGAAAGCGCAGGAGCTGAAAGTGCGCAGGGGACCAGACTATGCCAAGCTCACAAAAGGAGAGAGCGTGCAATCGGAGGATGGCAAGACGATCACCCCTGACATGGTTCTTGGACCTCCGCGGCCTGGCAAGGCAACTGCCATCATCGATCTGCCGTCGCCAGACTACGTTGAAAACCTGGTCTCCCGTCCCGAGTGGCAATCACCAGCGGTTACGAAAGGCTTGGAAGTCTTCATTTGGATTCTGGGTCCTGGCGTGGGAGAGCATCCGCGACTCCAGGAGTTTGTTGCGCGCATGTCCCACTGCAAACACATCGTGTCCAGCACCGATTACTGCCCCAACTACTTGGCTTTGCAGAGTGCAGCTGGCTCATCGATCCGCCTTGCCAGGCTCAACAGTGACAACTTCTCTGTGCCAGTTCATGACAACGTGACACTGCCGCAAGAGGGGACGCCTACGGCCGGTTCCAAGAGCGTCATCGAGGCTCTCAAGAATTCACCACTCGAGCCAGCGGAGCGTGGTTTGATTATTGACATGGAGCCGAATTTTGGGTTGAATCGCTCTGAGGTGCCACCTTTCTTCAACCCAGAAAAGGCAATGCAGCGGATTCCCCGCGCGGTTGAGAAGCGCGTCTCCACAATCAAGCACCGGATGAAGAAGCCTGCATTCCAGCAGAGGCTCAAGGAGCTACGTCAGGATCTCCCTGGTGCAGAGGCAGAGATCATCCCGTTGGGCACCGGGTCTTCGGCCCCGTCCAAGTACCGCAACGTCTCTTCGACCCTGCTGAAGGTGCCGGGCTACGGCTACTACTTGCTGGATTGTGGTGAAAACACGCTGGGACAGATGAAGCGGGTGTTTCGCCCTGACCAGCTGCGAGAGGTGCTGCAGAATCTCCGCATGATCTGGATCAGCCATCTGCACGCAGACCATCATCTGGGCACGGTGTCGGTGATCAAGGCATGGTACAATGAAAACTACCCGGGCCGGACACCCTCGACGGACGTGATCGAGACCGATATGGAGAAGATTCTGAAGGAGAAGCGCCTCTTTGTGGTGTCGGAGGAGATGATGATTGAGTGGCTTGAGGAGTACGCTGCGGTCGAGAACTACGGTTTTGACAAGCTGGTGCCGCTGGCCGCAAATCCGGTTATGGAGCGCGACGGTAGTATCAAAACGTCGTTTACCTACCGCCACTGTCGTGCAGATGGAACGTATGTGGATTCCCATTTGCCCGACACGCGCCCTGCCACGACGACGCTGCGCTTCAATGACCCGTCTTCGCCGCTCAGTCCGCTCCTACGGTCTGCCACCGGGCTTTCTGACCTCCTCACGACCCTAGTGTCGCACTGTCGCGGCGCCATGGCCGTGTCTCTCGTGTTCCCTGATGGCTTCAAGGTGTCGTACTCGGGCGACTGTCGGCCGTCTGCCAGTTTTGTCTCCATTGGGCAGGACTCGACCGTGCTCATCCACGAGGCGACGTTCCAGGACGACATGGCAGGGTCAGCCTTCGCCAAGAAACACTCGACCACAAGCGAAGCGCTTGAAGTCGGTCGCCGGATGCGGGCGCGCATGATCATGCTGACACATTTCAGTCAACGCTATCAGAAAATCGCCCATCTCGACCCGCAGTCAAAATCAGTGCAGGCTGAGGATGTGCCCCAGATGGCGGGTGGTATGTACGATGGTGTGCCCGACGAACCTGAAGAGAGCCCTCGTCTGCGGGACGTAAAGATGTCGAGCAGCGACGACCTCACCTTGACCAGCCGTCCCCGCTCGGAGTCTTCTCGAGGGCAGCAGCACCAGCTCGGAGCGCCCGTTGCGGCAGCGTTCGATTACATGCGCGTCCGGGTGCGGGACATTCCGGTCGCTCAGATCTACGCGCCAGCATTCGAGAAGCTAGTCGACATCCTAGAACGGGCATCCGAAGAAGAAACCGAGAAGCTGAAAGAGCAGCGCAAAGCAGAGCAGGCAGCCCAGGCTAATAACAAGAAGAAGAACAAGAAGAAGTGGGCGCAAGCTGAGGAGGTCGCGCCGGAACCTGAACAGAAGACGGCTCCTCCGAAGGCGAAAGAGCATTCTGTATGGAGTGCCAGCGAGTCGGAGAGTGGGTGGACGACGAATGAGAGTGATGGTGAGTGTGAGGAGGAAGGTGAAGAAGGGAAAGCTGGACGTGTTTCAGCTTGACGGACCAGATTGAGGAACATATCATATATCATAGATATGTCAGAGATATTATTTGTATAATAGCTATTGTTTACTTTGATTAAATTAAATGAATTTAGTTGCACTGCTGAGATAGACTAAAAAAAAAAACTGTGCAGAGTGCAGAGTACAGAATACAGATAGGGTATGCCATTCATTCACTCATTATTCCAGCATTCTGTCTATCCACTGCTGAACCTAAACCTTTATTATCATTATTAAATAATTTTTGCTCTAGTTTGCTCTAATAGTTGATCAGGAAAACAAATAGGTAGTAATGTCCTGTCCTGTCCTGCCAACCCTAGGGTAATCAATCAATTGATTGATTAATACCCAGCAGGCACACGATCCCTCCCATCCTTGCCAAAAATCCCCTCGTCAATGTTCTCCTGACACTCCTTCTTCCACTGCTTGGGAGTGAACTTGTCCGCGATCTCCTTGAAGGCTTCCAGCGTGCAGAACGTGTCGTCGCCCGGTAGATGGTTGGTCGGTTTCGCCGCGCACCCGGGGATGCGCATGGGTCGGTCGTTGTACCGGATTCGGACGTAGTGGTTGCGTAGGGTCTTGCGGGTTGATTCGGGTAATTCTGACAGCGGTGTGCGGGCGGTGTGTGAGGGGGAAGAAGATGTCGGGGCTTGTTGTGACGGTGATGATCGGCCGATCAGGTAGGAGAGAAAGCTGGACTGTTTGTTAGAGGAAGTATCTGTTGGGTTCGAAAACTCCTCCAGGACATTCCCTGCTGATTCGTGGCCGGCCCGGTCCGCAGTCGAGAACAATTCAATGGCGATCGACGAAGTGAACGGCGGCCATTTCTCGTTCTCGAAGGCCCCCATGCTCGCCAGGATCGCGGCAATCGTCGTGTCGTGGCATCCGCTGAGAGCGAACTTGATCGGCTTCCCTGGGCTCGCGCTGCCAGAGCTCGTCTCGCTGCGCCAGCCTCCTTCCACGGCCGTGCTGACCATCCGGTCGACAATGTCGCCCACAAGAGCCCCAATCCCCAGTTTCCGGTACTCCACATTCTCCTTGTACCCCGAGAACCACTCGTCCACGGCGATCTTGTCCATGATCTCGCGCCCTTTCTCGTCGTAGAATGCGGGTGGGAGTCTAGTGGCCGGTCCATGGGCCAGACTGGCATTGATCGTATCCATAATTCCCGACAGGCGGGGGTGAGAATCGACGGCAACCCTGGGGGAGCTCGGGGGCATCCATTTCGACCAGAGGCTGTTCAAGTAGTCCATTTGCTCCGAATTGTTCCCTACATGATGATGGTCAGCAGCATTCTTACGAGCACATCGAATATAATTAGTTACATCTTTCCGCTGCGCGGTCCGCAAAAAGTTTGGCAAGCTGCCTCAACCGTCGGCAATTGCCCTCGTTTGGGTAGAGAGTCTCGTCCGCAAGTGCCCTGGCAACAATGATAGGCGGAGTAAAGTCGGCTGTCCTAGCATTCGCAGGATACATGCCCCGGAATGTCTGCTGTAGAGACTCGAGTGCACGAGGGATCGGCGTCGCGCGGAGATACATATCCTCGGCGTCCGATTTGATCTTCGGCATAAAGCCCAGCTGGTCGACGTACAGATGTCGCAGCCGCTGACCCAGAGCAAACGTCGTCTCCCGCCCTTTGTCGGTGAGCTCCCCGAATTGACTTTTGGAAGCCCGTTAGCAAGCGCGATCCCCGTATCCATGTATGTCTGTACTTGCCAGATCCCCTCTGCCTCCCCTCCCGGGCCAGCTGCAATGACCGCTTCGTCATTGTGGCCAAAAGCCTCCATTCTCCTCCGCCACTGAAAGTTATCCCATGTCGAAAGGTCCTCCTTGGTAGCCACCATCGCGGTCATCCGGCGGGCTATAGAGCAGTACGGCCAGTCTCGAAGACGTCAGTAGAAGCGAGCGACTAGGGGCATTTGAAGGGACTGTTTACATGCTGGGAGGCCCGCCTATCCGCAATTCAGTTAGCAGCAAAATAGAGCAAATGGAACGGGGAGCAATGGACCATGCATTTTGGAATCGAGCGGTAACGGGAGTCCGTTCGCCTGGCGCAAGTCAGCTTGTATCACGACTTCGTATAGCATTCCAACAGAGAAGTACCATGACGCAGAAACTGGGAATCAACATCAGTCAGCCAGCTATTTTCCTCTTTTTTCTCTCGACCTGAAAACACTATACTCACCACCTGAACCAATTGCAGCTTCAGGTTCTTGGGGTAGAGCCGCTCCAACTCCTCCTTGGAGTAGGGCTCCCGGGGAGTCAGTGTTGTCATCTGGACTGAAAAGCTGTGACAACGACAGCGCAACCCCGAAAGTGTGCAGGAAGCACGATTGGACGAACAGCTGGGCTGCTCAGAGACCGCAATGGTTATTATTATTAACAAGCGGTCATGCTGGAAAGCGGTCTGGCGGTGGGGACGGCGGGCAATGCCGATGCATTACGTGAGAGGTAAGCGGTGAAGTGACTACTCCAGAGTACTGCATGGGTTGATGCAGTCTAGATCAACAGACATATCCTGACAGTCCCTAGGGCCAAAAAAAAATTCACGATAAATACTTCCTTCTTGACTCTTTCAAAGCAAAATATCATACACATCATGTTGCACAGCTTAATATCTCAACTTAAGATCAAAACAATCAACATTGCTATTCCATAACCACCCAAGCCTTCCAGGTCTGGCTTGGCTCGACCGGTTCGAAGAGAAAATACCTGGTCTATGCCAAGGATTTTCTCCTATGTAGTCTATTATCTACTCTTCAGGCGGGCTTCCTACCTATATATTCTGCTAATATGCAGTATGTTCACTTAATCTTGATAAAAGCATGTGACAGTGTGCAACAACTGAAGTCAGTGCTTTTATGGTAGGGGTGATGACGATAAAATCATTCTCCCCCTATAATGTGCTTTTAACGTTATTTCCGCTTTTCCTTTTCTTCGTACACTCTGTGTAACTCTCGAAGGCGGGAGATAGTCATGTTCTGCATGAACCTCAGCGGAAAGATGTCAAGTCCAATCCCCTGAACTCGGTGTCGCCAATATCCCCAGGCCATCAACCAGCCACAACCGACACGGTCCAACGCGGCACTGGCCATCGTCCAGCCAGTTGGGATGAAAAAGCCTTCCTCCACGTCATTCGCAGCGGTCTTCACACTTCCCACTATCACGTCCATCACCTCGATGTCTTGCCCTTCGGCCCTCATTTCGACAGCCAGGGCGTTGCTGAACGAGTTGACGAAGCCCTTGGCGCCAGAGTAGATGGTCAGCCAAGGCATTCCAACAGACGCTGCGGACGATATGTTCATGATCAGACCAGGCGCATTCTTTTGCAGAATCGGAAGCAGCAGTCTCGTCAATTGCGCCATAAACACGGCGTTGATGTTGAATAATTGTTGCACCTGCTTGTGAGAATAATCTTGGAGTCGCATATATGGAGAGCCTTGGAACACGCCTGTCCCGCCCCCGACATTGTTGATGAGGACGGTCAGGTGAGCATCGCCGATCTCTCGCACAATGCGCTCCATGTCCTCGCTAGGGTTGGACGCGTCGAAGACGATGATTTTGGTCTGCGCGGTGGGATACGCCGTCCGCAGCTGCTCTTGCACGCGAAGTAACTTTTCCGGATTGCGACCATGCAGAAAGACGTTGAAGCCCCGCCGGCAGAGCTCGTGGGCAAAGCCGAGACCGATTCCATCGCTCGCTCCAGTAACAAACGCCCATGATTCTTTACCTGGAGCACGATAACGGGACAGCGACGATGGTCGAAGATAGAGATAGGCTTCCTGCGCGAGCCTCACCAGCAGCGCGCCGAACGTGGCGGCGCCAAGGTAGCTGAAGATCCTGGGCAGTTCCATGCTTCCAATCGTATACAGTTGTATACGACAGGAAGAAGAAACGGCCTCTCGGAGAAAAGAGAGCTCCTACTTAAGGCGGACTATGTCTGGACGGCGTCATAAATCAGGCCGATTTTATGCCGAGACCAGACCAAGAGCGGGATAGCCACACGTGACCCATCCCAAGATGAGTGATGGCGTCTTTATCTTCGACGAACTTGATACAGTTCCTATGAGACAGGGGCAGAATGAGGCTTCATTCGTAACTCTACAGGGAAAATACGCGAGAAAGTACGGAGTAAGCAGGGCCAAGAGCCCAGTCTATCTCTTCCTCTAGGAGTACTTCAGGGAGTAGTAGCTGTAGTAGCTAGTTTAACTACTTCATCTATTTCTTATCCACAGAGAATTTCAATTTTGATCGTTCTGTGCCGCGCGGCCTTGTAGGAGCTGACAGTAGGTAGCTATGCTGCTACAGTCGTCTAGCGGCTGCGGCGGCGCTTCTCGCTGCAGCTAAACACACTCCGCCCTCCCCACCGCATCGCGCAACCTGTCGTATCTATAATCTCCCTGTCTCGTGCTGCGCGCCTGTCACACACCGCACGTTCTGCGCTTGCCTGGCCAATCTCGGAGCTGCCTTCTGGGAGCCGAAGGCGAGTTACCTCGCTGCAGTTAATTCGATCCTCCCGACGCCAGCATCACGGTCTCCGGCACTCCGCCGCCTCCTCCCCGCGTCCCAAGACTGCCAACCCTGTCTAGGCCCCCCGTCAATCACCGGCCTCTGTTTGGCTGTGGTCACAGCTCTGCCGATCCAGACATCTCATTCGAGGGGCTCACGGCGTAAAGAACGTCAGTAGCATTTCCCTGCGGCGCGGCTTGTGGGGATTTGTGCCCATATCAACAATTGCTCTTCATTCTGTCTTTGGACTGGCCACAACCCAATCAGAGTAATTCCGACAGAAGGCAGCTGCCATCTGTGTCATCATACATATCAAGGCCATAGGGAACTCGATTTCTCCAACGCTGGTCGACATTCCGGCGTCGCAGAGAAAGGGGCAGAGAGCCTCACGTGAAATCACCACGGAGAGAAAACAGCGCCTTCTTCCTGCTCACATTCCTGCCAGACTCGATTCATTCATTCATTTGTGGGTAACAATCATCCAGCGGCCTCTCCGTCCACCAATCGCGCTCTGTCCAGGCCTTTTGCTGATATCATTCGTCTTCAGATGTCTTGACCCTTACCGCCTGTTGGTTTCTCGACGACGGTGCCGTCACGACTAGATTGCGGCCATGGACGTAAGTGACCGCTTCTTGTGCTTTTCCTGTCCCTGATTCATCCCTGTCTTTTTCTGTCTGTGCCGGCTTTTAAGCAACGGGACCTCCGCCTCGTTCCACGTTCGGATCCTCGCTGCGATGGAGACTCGCACTTGTGATTCTGTACCTTTTGCTCGATGTTTCATAGCTCCCTGTTTTGTCCCTGAAAAGTTTCTCTTTCTGTTGGGTCTTCTCTTGTTTGCCAGTTAGAGCCTTGAAGGTGTCTGGCCTTGTGATTCCCGTATCTCTATCCCTGGTCGTTTGCGTGACCTTCCGCTGTTAGAAGCTTGATGTTGTTCTCCGAGAATGACCAGCATGTGCCCAATCGATCTCCTCATTCACCTCATAAAAGATTCCCTTGCCAGTGTGCTTTATCGTCGTTGATCTCCTGTTCTCTCGAGGATATTGGGCCTGTAGTGTTTCTCGCCGCGAAGTCATTCTCTCGGCATGTCGGTCATTCCTCCTCGTCGTAATCGGACCGTCGTGGAACAAGGCCCGGAGCGCGCAGTGTTTTCTGATAGCTCAATACTGCATGGCCATCCCCCGATCATCAGGACTCGTTCGCAGCTAAGGCTTGAGGGAATTTTACAGGGTGCGAATCAGGCGCTGGCACAACCAGGCCATGGCAGGCCGGGCCAGCCATCTAGTCGCAAATTCCGTGACCAGAAACCCCGTCTCTTATTGATGGGACTCCGTCGGTAGGTTATTCCATCTTCTTAGCAGCGGAATACAAGCAGAAAAATTAACTATGAGCAGGAGTGGCAAGTCTTCGATCTCTAGCGTAGTCTTCCACAAGATGCCTCCCACGGAAACCCTTTTTCTGGAGTCCACCACCCGGATACAGAAGGATTCCATACAGTAAGCCTTATATTCCTGGAAAATTCGACGGCCCACTAACTTTATGGCTTCCAGCTCATTTATGGACTTCCAGGTCTGGGACTTTCCCGGTCAGCTGGAATACTTGGAACCGTCTTTCGACCTGGAGGCTATCTTCGGTACACTGGGAGCGCTGGTCTGGGTGATCGACGCGCAGGATGATTACCTAGACTCGGTGGCCCGGCTGAATCGCACGATCCTCACGGTCCAGCAATACTACCCGAACATCAACATCGAAGTATTTATCCACAAGGTCGACGGCCTGTCGGAGGAGTACCGCACGGATACCTTCCAGGACATCGTGCAGCGTATCTCAGACGAGCTCAGCGACGCAGGATACGAAAACGCCCCTGTGCATTACTATCTGACCTCCATCTATGACTACTCAGTCTTTGAAGCCTTCAGCAAGGTCATTCAGAAGCTGATCCCGCAGCTCCCGACGCTGGAAAACCTAATCAACATCCTGGCCAACAACTGCGGGTTTGAGAAGACGTATCTCTTCGATGTCCTCAGCAAGATCTACATCGCGTCCGATACGCGTCCGGTTGATATGGCCTGCTACGAGATGTGTTCGGACTACATCGACGTCATCGTGGACATTTCCGAGCTGTATTCATGGGACCACCCGGACCGCAAGCCCAAGGGCGAGCAGATGCGTGAAGCAGAGAGCCACGTGATCCTGCACGATCACAGCATGATCCACCTAATGGAGATGAACAAGTGAGTCTGGCCGGCTGAAGACGTGCGCCGATTCGGTTGCTAACCTGCATCTATTATAGATATCTCTGCCTCGTCTCGGTAATCCGCAACCCGGAAGCGAAGGAAAAGAAGGGCCTGATCGACATGAACTGCCGCATCTTCCAGGATGCTCTGAACGAAATCTTCTCACGCGGCTGGGAACAAGAGGAATGAATGAATTGCGCTGTTCGTTTCCACTGAGGTAGAAAAAATTCTGTATTGCTATGACCTGATTTCCTTGTTGTTTACATGGGACATGAAAAGCAGTTTCTACGATTTGATTTGATTTCTTTTCTGTTGGAATTAGAATGGGATTTGGGATCTGGGCGTTTCTTTGCAAAGCTTGACTGGTATCTAGTTTAGAAACTATTACGTATAATACAACTCTGCGGCTACGAGCAATGGAACGATGCGAGAGACAATGTACTGTACCATCCGATTCGAGACTTTTTTTTTGCCTCTTCTGATAAGACTGTCAAGCTAGATAAGGAATTGTCGAAATAGTGCGAGCGACTCACCAAAAAAAAAAAAAGAGAGAGAGAGAGAAAAGAAAAGAAATAAAAACGCTGGTGGTGTTCAACTATATGGACAGTGAACCTGGAAACAGGTGATAATTAGTCCCGATGATTAGCGACGGAGTACCTGCGGAGATAGCTCTGCGAATAGCAATTGAGGTAATCAACCTATCTCAAGTCATCCATCCATCCATCCGTCTCCGCAAGAAAAGAACAACAAGCAAATTGACCACTTATATCTGAATCGCCTTTTGAAGAAAGGTCATAAACAATTGATACTCGAGCAAGGAATTATCTCGAAAAACAAAAACAAAAAAAGAAAAATAAAGGGTTCTAAAATTTCAAAGCGACAGCTGGCCTTAGCCAGCGTGTTCGTTAGAAGAAAGAGAGAAAATGTCCGAAGTCCGACAGAGACCAGTACAACAACCATCGTCAGCATCCAAGGAACAGGAGCAAGATCGAGATCGAGATCGCGAGCACAACAAGATCGACAGCGAAGAAGAAGAAAAACAAAAACCGAAAAAGCAGCACAGCAGAACGAAACGCTACTACGATGAAGACGATGCCCGCATCAGCCTCCTGGATATCGTCCGCGTCGTGGTCACGCTGGTGCTCGCCTTTTGCGGCATGTCATACTACATGACTTCGAGGGAGTCGTTTCTGTGGGGGTACCGGCCGTGGTTTACGCGGTGGCCGCTTGTGGTGCAGTATTTCGTACGTATCTACCTCCCTACCAGGTAGTGGTATAATATTCAGCTAACATTCCTGGCTACTATCCAGCGCGGCCCCATCAACCTCACGCCGGAACAACTCGCCCTCTACAACGGCACCGACCCGTCCCTCCCCATTTACCTCGCCATCAACGGCACCATCTTCGACGTCTCGGCCAACCGCGGCATGTACGGCCCGGGCGGAAGCTACAACTTCTTCACGGGGCGGGACGCGACGCGCGCGTTCGTCACGGGCTGTTTCCAGGAGGACCTGACGCCGGATCTGGACGGGGCGGAGGAGCTGTTCATCCCCGTCGACGACGAGGATGACGAGGAGGAGCGCAAGCTGAGCAGTCGCGACCGGAAGCTGCGCAGGGAGAGAGAGTTGCGTCTGGCCAAGGCCAAGGTCCGCGAGACGGTCGCACACTGGGTGAATTTCTACCGCGATCATAAGAAGTATTTCGAGGTGGGCAAAGTCATTACCCCTGCCAAAAATGACAATGCGTCCGAGTCCGAGTCCAAGCCCAAGCCTACCAAGAGGCCGCTTTGTGAAGCGGCGCAGAGGAATAGGCCCAAACGGAAGGATCTAAAGAAGGAAGAGGCCGAAAGGAAAGGAAAGAAAAGTAACTAATTAATTGGGTATATAATGTGTTGTGTTATTCGTATATGTTTGTGAGTTGAATAAGACCTTTTTTATTTAGTTGTGATTTGGGTATTGCATTGTATAGTACTTGGGACAATTGGGTAGATAATGGGCTTGAGATCTTACTCTACGAACCTGATTGACCTTACACAATCATATCTAGTGCAACTAACGAAAGAAGTTGTTTTTCAACCGGCCAGCCAGACCGTGATCGTGATTCAATTCTCGAAGTCTCGTTTTTATTTGACACGTTCAGTAGTCGTCTCTGTTTTTGTCTTTTAAACTATCCACACTCCGAACTATGCCGTTGAACACCAGCCCAGAAGTTCTCTCGGGATTTCTTGGAAAGAGGATATCGTAACAAAGGAGATGAAAAACACCGTTATTCGGAAGAAAGAACCGGGAATGGATTAAAGGCGTTTACTCGGCGGTGACAGCACGGGCTAGAAGATGGCGAGTTAGCAAGAGCCCAAAAAAAAGAGAAACAAATCGCTGGATCTTAAACGTATCGGGACCAAGGGCACATACTGTAGATGTTCAGCTTCGAGTGACCGACGACCTTCTTGATCTGGCCCTTCTCCTCGAGCTCGGCAAGAGCCTTGCGGGCCAAGCTGCCGTTGATCTTCAGACGGTCGACCAGGGTCGCAACGGTAATGAGACGGTAGGACTGGACGTCCTTGTAGAGCTTCTCAGAAGTGGCCTTGTCGAGGACGACGGCGTGGTTGGCCTTGTCCTTGACTGTACGGGGAAAGAAAGAAGACGATACGTTAGCCATCCATCAATTCGGACGTCTTTTTTTTTATTTTCCCCCATCCAATTGTCCGTTTTCTGTTCTGGGATCGCTTCTCGAATGGAACTCGACGGGGGAAGACTAGTGGTCAAAACGTACCCTTGCCCTTGGACCACTTCTTCTTTTGCTTCTTGCCGCCGGAGGTCGTCGTCGCTGCTGGCGCCTGAGGGAGATCAATGTCAATAAAAACTAATTCAACGACATAATAACGCGAGGGTGTGCTCTGGCGCAGCGACTCACCATTTTGACGGTTGTGGTGGTTCTTCAACGGGGAAGGAAGAAGAAGCGACAACAGCCTTTTGTTCAGCAGGAACTGAACTTAGCGAGGCGAGGCCAAGTGCGAAATTGGCGAGTGGGGGATGACTAAGCGCCGTGTGGTCCTGAGCCCTAAACCCTCATTGCCATGCGCAGTGTCTCGCCAATGGAAGTTTGCTACGGAGGTATGAAAGTATACTAACCAATATAGGAAGTCTCACGTGACAGGGAAACCTCACTGCACATTTTGACCGTTTCTGACTTTTCCGCTTATCCCATCTGTGTAAGACATTCCAGGAGAATGAAATCATGTAACTGGTTGGACTCTCTTTGTGTGCAATACTGCACATGGGAGATATGAGTGCCTCACACAGCTGACCTCTCTATCGAGGTCATTGGTGGAAATCACGTGTCCTGTATCTTATTGGACCGCTTCATTGTTGCACTTTTCAACTCAGCCGGACTGCTGATATTCCAGTGTCCTCATTGGCTGACAAAGACTATCTATGAAATCAACTTCATTGAGAACATCATTTTGGAGAATTAAGACATTGAATGTTCCTTGATATGGATTTTAAAATACTCTAATTATCTATCTATTCTAAAAATAATTTCACCCCAACACGGTCAGAGGCAAGACTTGGATATGCAAGTGCAGTTGACCGTTGAATGAGTTTAATTGCCATGACTGTCTTCGACTATTGCATTATGTCACCGCTCCTACTTACAGAATGAAGCACATTAAACTGTGAATGTCCATCCTGCAGAGTGATATATCCGAGAACGGCATCGTCCGGGGTGCTGAACCAGAACATAGAAGGCTCTCCGCGAACAGACCCGAACCAAGTGATCTCATATCGCCCTGCATCATTTCGCGCGACTGGTACGGCTGCAATAATGGGGTTTCTGTTCCGAGACCAGAGGTGGACAGCAGCCATCGCACTGTTGTTCGTTGTCACCAGGAGCTCATGCTCACTAGGGTGCCATGAAAACTGTCTGACAATATGTTCGTGGACGAGCACTGATTCCAAGCGGACGGGCGAGGTCAGACACCATATCCAGACAATATTCGGCTGTGATTGATCCAAAGTTGCCAAGAGTTCGCCATTGTAACTGAATTGAATCATCGACACGCCGCGAGGCAGACCAGATGATTCCGAGGTCGTAGTAAACGCAGACGAGGGAGATGCCTCAGTGTATTCAAGGCTCCCGTCAAGCCGCTCCCGCCAAATTGCTGGTGAATAATTATCGACATTAAGGGTATGGAAAAGCGAAGTGGTGCAGGAGAACTGAGACAACTTAGTTTGAAGTCCACTGGTATGGTGATGACGTTCTCTTACCGTTCTGCTGTTGAGAAGATCCACGGTTCCATCGAACTTTCCAACGGCTAAGAATTTGGAGCTCCGATTAGAATTTGCAACCGGGCTCCATTCTATGGTTCTCACACCGAGATCATAAGTGTCGTCACCCTCTGACAGTCCCGTATAAGCCCTGAAGAGCTGTCCATCGGCCGTGTATATCAGAACTTTCGTGCCAGCGCTTGCAGCTTCCCAGACTGCAATCCATTTTCCGTCTGGGCTCCATCTCACGCCTTGAGCATCTACAGTAGGCAAGGTCACTCTCGTAATGAGCTCATACGTCTGTATCTCATGTAACGTGAGGAGATCGCTCGTTTCAGGCTTCAGTAAGATCGCAAGCTGCCGTGTTCGCGGACGGTAGCTGTAACCATTGGGATTGCAGAATTTGGGTGATTTGATTACTTGGCTGCGCCCCGAGTCAAGACTAAAGATGGTCACTTTTGAGTTCCAGGAGTGAAAGACAATGACCTCGTCATCCCGGGCTCCAAAGTCCACGTGCATTATTGTAGGGTCGATATTTTCAATGTCGGCAGCCCATTCCATGGAATTGATCTCCCAGACAGAGACGCGATTGTCGCTGGAGCAGAGCAAGCGCTGGCGTGGAACAAGGTCTAATGTATTGTCGTTATCATCATCAGAAGTATCTGGGGAGGAAATCTTTAGAAATTTCAACTGCGACGCCAATGGTTCTTTCAATCTGGTGCAGTGAAGAATCCTCGAGCCCTCAAACTCTGCGGCTGTGTGCACCGAGAGTTCTTTTCCGTTCGCGCGCACAACATAATCCCCATGGCGTGAGACGGCAATCAGCGAAGACACTAAGATTTAAGACAATATTAGAGGCTTCGAGACAGGAGATTGAAGAGAAGATAAACTTTGTATTTACCTCCAGCGCTGGTATGCGAAGCCATGGGGCAACGCCGTATGGGAAGAACAGACTGCGTTGAAAGCTAAATCCCCGCACAACAATTGAGTGGAACCGCTCAGAGTATGGTTTCACAAACCCCGTAAACCCATTTTGCCTCCAAAGTCAATTGTGTCCAGCATCCCAATAGTATACGCGCGACTGGGTTCGCGTCTCGACATTTGGTTGTGTCCCGCAGCGGGACCGGCGTCGATAAGATAAGATTTGCGGATCAAAGTTACTCCGGACCAGATAAAAAAGAATATACGCCAATCTCCCGCTGGAGAAGAATTATCGCCCTTGTTCATGAATGCATTGCCACAGTGATCAATTCCAGGCAGACGGCGAGAGACTAGCTATCTAACCAAGATAGGGCTCTTGCGGTTCCTTGCCCCTAGTTGGGGCAAACATCTCTCCAGGTTACGATCGCGCATTTTCAGAATGGCGGTGCAAGAAGCGCCGCCCGAGGCCCCTGAGGGCCCAAGGGAGCAAACCTCAGATCCCGCTCCTCGGAAGAAGTTGACAGGAAGAGAATTCTACCGAAGTATTGGGAGCCCGAAATATATTCTAGCTCCCATGGTGGACAGGTCAGAATTTGTACGACACTCCCTACCTAGTGAAAGCGTGAAGTGTCCAGTACGGTGCTGACTAGAGAAGGCATGGCGTATGCTCACCCGCTCTTTCATGAAACAAGATGACTCGAAGCCACTCCTTGCCTATTCCCCAATGTTCCACGCTCGATTGTGGCGCGAAACGGCTGGCTTCCGTGCGCAGTACTTCCAGCCGACGCGCCGAACTGCAGACGGTGCTGGCGAGGAACCCTATCTCGACGGCAATCCCGCCCTAGACCGCCCTCTTTTCGTGCAGTTCTGCGCAAATGACCCGGAGGATTTCTTGGAATCAGCTCGCCTTGTTGCTCCCTACTGCGACGCAGTTGATCTCAATCTTGGATGCCCACAGGGAATCGCGAAGAAAGGGCATTACGGTGCGTTTCTGCAAGAAGACTGGGATCTGATCTACAAGTTGATCAACACACTACATAAGGAACTCCCGATCCCGGTGACAGCCAAGTTTCGTATCCTTGAAACGAAGGAGAAGACATTGGAGTATGCGAAAATGATATTGTCTGCAGGCGCTAGCATCATCACTGTTCATGGGCGTCGGAGAGAGCAGAAAGGTCACAATACCGGCCTGGCAGATTGGAGTTATATCAGATATCTCCGGGATAACCTGCCTCCGGAGACTGTGATCTTTGCGAATGGCAACATTCTCAACCATGACGACATCGAAAGATGTCTGGAAGCCACGGGAGCGGATGGTGTGATGAGTGCCGAAGGGAACCTGTCAGATCCCAGCATCTTTAGTGAGCCGCCCCCTGTCGGTAGCGAAGGACGAGAATACTGGCGAGGTCGAAATGGAAAGGGCGGTTATCGCATGGATGCGATCTTTCGACGGTATCTGGATATCATTTACCGATACGTTCTGGAACAGCCAGTCCCTGAAAGAAAGCCGTTGTTCCTTCCGTCAGACCCGGTGCAGAAAGACACCGCGACGAAGACAGACGACGGAAACGCAAAAGAGGGTGACGAGGTCGAAGAACCCCCAAAGAAGAAGCAGAAACGAAACAAGGAGAAGAAGATAGTCAACCCCAACCTTGGCGCGATGCAAGGCCATCTGTTCCAGCTGCTCCGTCCCTTGGTCTCGAAACACACGGATATCCGGGACACTCTGGCGAAGGCACGAACAGGCGATATAGCCGAGTACGAGAGAATCCTGCGCATGGTCGAAAACGCCGTCAAGGCTGGCATTCTGGAATACGAGCAGTATCCAGAACGATTCGACAGCCCTGTAGTCGACAAGGGCGACGACAGTCTGTCAGGCACCAAGGCTACTGTGGCAGAGTACAGTCGGCCATGGTGGGTCTGTCAGCCATACATCCGTCCTCTGCCCGAAGAAGCAGTCAAGCTGGGGGCGATGACTATGAAGAAAGACGATAACAAGGTGACCAATCCTGCTTCTGATGTTGAAGTCAAGGAAGCAGTAGTCCCTCCTCCTGAACAGCCTACTCAAAAGGAAGCTGTGACGGTGCAAGCGTGAAATTTCTCTTTCTGTCTTCCTTTCTTTCTTTTTGCGGTGCTAGTCACCTGCTTGCTTTATCTCTTTGCAAATAGTTCTTTCTTTTCGTTTTCTATTTGATCCCAACTGATTATGGGGACTGATTATAAGGATGATGAGAGAGTTTATATAAATTTATTATACCCGGAAATACTTGCATGCACATAGAGCCTGGCGCGATGCTCATGTTTATAGAGAGAGAGATCCACAAGCATATAGATCACAGTTCCAATTTTTCCAACTTTTCGAAATGCAATGATTCATTTCATTATTCATAGAGCCTTCCCGCCTGAGTATTACTATTTATCTATTACAGGTCGAACAAATAAACAGTTTCAGTCGTATGAGATTACCCAATTCCTGATATTTCTCAGATCAAGATGTCGACTGCGCTTGGACGTCTTTCCAGCGATCAAACGCTCCTGCAGCAGTACCAGTTCCCTCTCTCCATCCCCAAGCAACACAGTAATGCTGCGCCAGCAACTTCCACTCCTCCATCTCATCCAGCATTTCTAATCTCGCTACCCGCTCCTTCTCAGCGTCGCTGACCCAGTGCTCCCAGATCAAGTCCACATCGGCGGCCCCTTGTCCCGCGTCGAACCCGTGGTCACGGAGCCGCTGTCGCTGAGCATCCAGCGACGCATATCTGTGGAGAGTCTGGAGCTGAATACCTCGTGCAGCGAGGTTGGAGACCATTGTCTTCCCGAAGGGGTCGTCGGGGCGGATGGGCTCATACAGAATCAATCCCAGAGGGGTGACGGCGTCAGATCCAGCAGCAGGCCGTGGGAAGAGAGTCTTTGTGAAGTAATCGACTACCCCCGCAGCATCTTCCGGGGATAAATAGACTAGACAGCATTCTGAAAGGAGTAGCGTGGGTAGTGAAGTATCAACTCCTGGCAGGAGAACGGAAGGAGCATTGCCCTGTGAAGAAGTATGCTCTGGGTCCGAAGGAGAATCGGAAGAGGTATGCGACTGCGAGTCGGCTGCAGGCGGTTTGGCAAGGGATCTTAGATCGATAGGGTGGATATGATAGAACGGTGAATGCAGCGCATCACCTTCGGCGGAAATCGTCACATCGTCCTCCCCTTCTCCTTCTCTCCAGAGGGCTTCTCGATACGTAGCGCCTTCTGCAAGAGAGGCGTGGAACGGATCGCCCTTATCTTTGCCGCTGTGTTCACGGGGAAATCCAGCTCATGATAAACAAGCCGTAGAGATGGCCTTTTCGAAAAGAGTCTGAAAACACGCGTATCCGAGCCCGCGCCCAGCGAGATGATCTGTTTCTTCCTTGGGGGCTGTCCATCGTCGGGTTCGTCGAGGAAGCGATGGACGAGGTCATCGATCGCAGTAGTCCGGACGTAGGTTCCTGTTTCGAGATGCACAATCCAAGGTTAATAAAGTACATTACAAACTGTACAGCTACAATGTTATGTGCGACTATCAGATCCATCGACATACCTCGATTGATGATAGGAAACCGTCTCGTCCCAGGACCAGTAGAGGGAGTCAATACCCTAGCAAACGGATCGTCCAAGTATCCCAGCTCCACCGCGCTCAATCGGGACACGCTGGCGTCGTTATCTGTACCTTGCACGACTCTGTCTTTGGCCGCACTGCCTGTGTGGTGATGATTGCCGTCATCGTTGTTGACGCCAGCTCCGCCGCGGCCCCGGAGAACACGGCCTCGACCTCCGCCGCCCCGACGGAGCGTGTTGAGGTTCGGGATCTGGGGAGCGGACATGGAGAAGAAAGAAGAAAGTTATGTATACATAATAATACTAATAATGAAGGGAGAAGCAGCTCAGTTCTGGATGTGAAGACCGCCAATGGAGCTTTGGTGGGGTGGAATGACGCTCTGTCTGCCCCGCAGAGCAGTAGATGTAATAATGCATTGAGAGGCGCGCCGTTGATTCGATCCGCTCCCATAATAATCTCAACAGACAGGTCTAGACCTGGCACCCTTACGGGATTTTCTCGTCTTTCGATTCTCGTGGTTATATTTTTAAGACTGATTATATATTGAAAATAGCCTCATTCCGCTGTTTTTCGTGTATGTATATATGTACAGTATTACCTAGCAGAACCATCGACATATGCATATCGAAAGCCCATCAAAGGAATAATCCTCTTGAAACGAAACATTACTTTTGGAAGATTCAACGATGTGAAATACAGGATGGCTCTCTAAAACCACGCACCCCTCACCTAAACATACACGAAGTTATTCCTACACAGAGGACATGTGCTCTGGTTGCTGCTCTTAAACCACCGGAACAGACAGACGGAATGGAAGGTGTTCTTGCAAGTCGCGCATCTTTTGTTCGGGGTCTGCATGTCGGTCGAGATGACCGAATAACAGATGGCGCATTCGCTCTGTCCCTTCAGCGCGCCTTGCACGTTCTTCCTGAACGCCAGCAGACCATCCACCAGGTTGCCGTTCGAGAACATTATCACTCCTTGGATAGTCAACATCCAGCTCCGCCACTTTTTCTCGTCTACGAGAACCCGACTCCGGCCGGTAACCAGAGCAGGCTGCAGCGGATATGCTGGTGGAAGGTTGACGGCCATCGCTACCGGAGGAGATTCCTCGTCGACGGGGATGCTGGCAACCAGTTCGGCCGCCTTGACGGAGACTTTGACTGAGAGCTGACGCTCTTCGTCGGGGTCTTGCGTCGTGATCCACTCAGATACACTCGTCAAGGCATCTTCGATAACCAGAGGTGATATCTGTCGTCTCTGTTTAGTATGACCTTAAAAAACAGACTTGATGTTCATGTACGGTCTTACATATTTCTCCGTCCATGATTCCACAGGTCCCTTGATGCGCTTTTTACTGTCGATCCACCAAGTCTTGGTGAGGTTGGCGAGATATTTCAAAGACAGGAAGTACAGATGCACAAGAAGCCACTGGGTCTCCTTCTCGGCTGATTCGGATTCGTCGGGTTCAAATGAGCGAATGTTGAATTTGGACGCATCCAAGAGTTTCCCATGGGATTTTTGCAGAAAGTCGAAAATGAAGTCAAGAAGAGGATTTAATGAACCATGTTCCTTGATATTCGACAAGTAGCTTTCTTGGACCGGTAGCGACTAGTCACACCAGTTAGTAAGACGCTTCTGATCAAAGGTCGATGGCTCCTATACTTACAGCGTTCGGAAAGTGATCAAACACTATCTTCCAGCTCAAGAGATAGGATCGCACGCCAATCCACACTTTATCGTCACCAGATGACGCGATTAGTGACTCCATTGTCGGAGCTTCCAGTAACAAAGACAGCAGCTCATCAGGAAGGTTCACGGTGGTTTTAGACAATGCCACATCAAAAGATACTTGTTGTTGGGCCGGTGGAATAAATCGATGGAGAACCTCGTACGCGGCTCGCTGGATTCCACGGCTCTTGGCCGCCAGGAGTGGAAATAGATCACTGACTCCTGGCAGGCTGTCAACGGGAACCGTACTTAGTTGACGACGTAGTAGATCTACCGTCATGTCCCGAGGTTGATGGAAGGAACTTGAAAAATCTGCAATAGAAACCGTTAGTCTTCCACTCCACCTCCATACCTTGAGGGGGGCTGTTAACATACCTAGCTTATGAAGGGTTGAAACAAGGTTCTTAATCAGTTCAGCTTTGGACTCTGCCCATGCATCCTCCAGGTCATCGTTTCCTTCACCGTTTGCCATAGACTTTAAGGACGCAAAGAGCCTGAAGGATCCGTGCAGTGCAGGCAGAGCTTCATCGCCGCCGCTCGTCTCTTTCCAGGTGGTGTTCAAGATCTCAATCGTATCAGCCCAATGTGAACCATAAATTTCGCTCAGAAGCCGAAGGACAACTGTCAGGACTTTGAAGGTCTCTGCTTTGATGTTTATGGATTCAACACCTGACTGCAAGCACTGGATAAGGTGCTTCACAAGGAAAACTAGTCGCTGAGTGGGAATAGACTCCACGACATTTTCCTCTCCTTGAATCAGGATATTAAGGAGAGACAATTTTTGCAACCCTAAAATCCATTAGCAGTGATCATTTATATATACTCAATTTACTTACCTTCAATGGGATCTTTCTGTGGGTTGATTCCTGTAACATCGGCAACCAATTCATTGCAGAGCCTTGTCCCAGCAGGATTGGACATGATCGAATGCCTCCAAACGAGGAGTGTAGCCGCGGCGCGAACAACATTGATTTTTCTTATTTCCTTCAACAGTTCCACCCACGAATCCATAGACTTGGTTGACTTGCGCGTCTCAGCCTCTGACATGATCTTCGCAAAGGCTTCTCCAACTCTATAACTCTCGGGAGACGTATCCTCCAGGGATTCGAGGCTACGTTCCCAGAAATTAAACAATGCTTCTGAGATAGAGTTTCTATCTTCAGAGTTGAGACGTGCGTCAGAGTGGATCCAACTACTGATGATAGAACGGCCTCGATTGACGATCTCCATGTATTCCTCCCGGTCTTCTGAGTCCTCCAAACCGGTTATGCCGGTACACCCTTCGATGCTAAGATCGTCATCAATCAACTGGATTGCCAGAGGGAAGTAGTAGAACAAGGTCTCTCTCTCTTCCGCGCCTAGTGACTCCATCACATTGGGAAGAGAAAGAACCTTTGCCACATAAGACGCCAGTCGGAAAGCAGATGAACAACGGTCAGAATCTCGTGATACACCTTCTAGTTTCTGCCAAAAAGAATCGGACAGGTTATGGTCAATGAGGTAGACGATCCCACCAAGAGGGCTGGTGATAGCGGTCGAGGGTCGTGGAGGCAGGCCTAAGAACGGTTCCAAAGAATCTTTCCATGATTGCCGACTTGGTAGGATATTTTTCGCTAACTCATGCTGTTCTTCTGGTTTGGCAGTTCGGAACAATTCTTCTGCAATATTGACCAAGGAATCGACCCTTCAAGAAACTATCAGCAATCACCATCAAGAAAACAAGACACAGAAAATGCCACTTACGAGAGTGATTCTGGGCCGACTTCGCGGAAACTATGTTTGAGAATATCTATGTTCGATTCAGCGCCGACATCGCCAGACACTGTATCTTTGAGTTTCTTTTCTAAAGCTTCTGCGCCTTGAGCAATTTCATCATCCGGTGACTCCGTGAGATAAAGAAGCCTGGCTAGCAACTTCGAGCCGTGAACTTCTTTCCTGAAGCGTCGGAGTGTAGCCGGACTCCGGGTTGCGATCTGCGAAAGGCCAAATAGGGCTTCTGTCACATTATCTTCTGAAGACAAGGCATCCACTATGGATAGGACGATGCGATCCAATAGTGAGTCAGGCAATGTGTTGTTTTCGACCACTGCATACAACAGGGGCCACTCGTTTCTCTTTCCCCTGAGAGCTTTGTCCAGACTTCGCATCACGATGGAATCGAGACGGGGGCGGTCTTGTATTTCCTTCAAGTCAATCATGGAGAGCAATTTTTGAAGAGCCGGCATATTCGACTCGTCCAGTTCTGTTTCAGTCATCCGCTCTAAAGACTCCTGGAACACCGAATCGAAGCCATCCCACCTCCGACATAGCAGAATAATAGACATAATCCTATCAGCAGAGGGAGTAAATAAAAGGGCCGGGATTTTTTCCTTAAGAGAACTGACTAAAGGCTGTGAGCTCTTCACGATTTCTGGAACGTTGCGAATAGCTTCTTCAATCATGGCTGCTGCGCCATAAGGTTTGCCATTTCGCGTATGTAATGATTGAAGGGAGCCCTCCAACAACGGCAGACTTGCTTCTTGAAAAGTACTCAATATGCGAGACCCAGTTGTTGACTGAGAGGCCAGAGCAAGGACAGCGGCTTCTAGGCTGAAGAAGCGGTTTGCCTTCGCACACACTGCGTCCTGCGATGGCTTGAAGTCCTTTGATTGCTCAGGTGAGGAGATCTTGACTGCTTTCAGCAGATCCTCAGTAACATGAGTCCACAGCGACCTCAATGTGACTTCGTGGCCATGTTCAGCCAGTCTAACAAAACCACCCGCGCATATCTCTTCAGCTGATTGGGGTGGGAGCGTCCACCGGGATTCGCCCTGCGTCCCACTGATATACTGTTCAAATATTGGCGTGATCTGTCCTTGAACAAATTTCACCTTGTCACCTTCATCTAAAAGGGTCGCAAGCCATATCCCTGTGTCGATGTATGATCTCCAACCTGTTTTTAGGTTGTGTCGAGGTTCGTCTCGCGAAGATAGCCCGTCCAGAAAGGCGTCCATAAGAGACGATGCTTGTGAATAACCAAACTGTACTTCTTCATCTCCTTTTGTGCCAAATTTAGCAAGAACCTCCAACGGAACTGCCTGTAATAATTGCACAAGATTTGGCCAATACGATTCTGCAGCCCCTTGGGATCCTCTTTGAATATATTGATTGAGACGCTTTACTGCAGGCGACTTCCCAGCATAATCTGTCGTCCATATTTGCGGTCTAGCCTGCGTCAACTGTAGAAGCGTTTCGGAAAATTCTGACGCGGATCCGAGTTGAGGTGTCGACAGAGACTTTCCGATAAACGCACCGCTTATGATCTTCCAGTCTATTGCGTCGAAACCCTTCGCTAGAGAGGATCGAAGAAGGTTATAGATAGCGCGACGCACAAAAGGATCCTCATGGTGCGCGAACGCCCAAAGAGACTTGCTGCTAAGTAGAGTATGGATCAATGGCGAGTCTTTATCTAATTCTTGCGGCGACGCGGTGCCTGGTAGAAAGAGAATCAGTCATTCTGTCAAACACAGTTGCCCAGATGAGTTCACATACTGAGAATCCGATTGAATAGCAGAATTGCTGTGGCTGAAACTCGTGCGAACTTGGCCTCGGCGTCGTCAGGCTTGACTACCCTTTCATCACTCAGAGTTAAAGCCGTCTGGTGGAGAATAACATCGTCCACAAACTCCAGAATTGGGCCTTGGTAAACCTTCCACAGGTTGCTTCGTTTCTCTTCAGTTGCAAAAACCCGCGTGAGAGATTCTACAACAGATCGAGAAACTGGCCGGTCATTGTCGTAGAGGCCGGCAAGCCAAGCACCAACCACCTTGGACAGGTGACGAACAATTCGTTTCCCCGCCAAAGATGCAAGGAGGCCTTGGATGGTGTGTGTAAGCTGTCGCACCCTCCGAGAATTCTCTATCGAAGTACGTGGATAGACCCTTGTCTGGAAATTTGTTATCATGATAATGTTCCATTTTCAGTCCTTTGCGAGAGAAAACAGGCTGACATACCCAAGCTTCCAGCACACCATCTTCCAGACTATCACTACGATCTTCGAGTTTCAAGATATAGTCTCTGATATCTTCCAATGCCTTTGTTTTTGTAATATCATCTTTCTTCAAGAGATTCTTGAACGCAACGACCAGCTGCGGCTCTGAGATCTTGGACAGATCCGGAGGCTCTGCAACATACGACAGGGAAGACGGTGCATGGGAATGCGAAGACGATATTGATGAAAATCCCCCAAATGAACCACCGAAAGCGCCGAAGCCACCGGCAGCCGCACGACTGCTCGAGGCCTGCGACTTGAATTTTTTACTCATGATGTGGGGTCCAATGATGATGTCAGGCTGTATACGGGACTGCAGAGCGCTCTAAAATGATCGCTAAAAGGGAAAAGAAAGAAAACCAAGTAGAAATAAAGCGTCACAGAAACCAGCCTGGAACAAACATCATCGCTTCCACCCCAGAATCGTGCACTGTCTTTGATTACGTCTCTTCTTCCCCGCGTCGGAGTCCCTCTATGGATATCATGCTTAGTCATATCGATGGCTCACGTGATCTGGTGTCTTGCTGTGACGTCGAATGGGAAAGTGGACGCGCGACGGGCCGTGTTCGCTTTGGGAAAGAGAGATTGGTGAGCAGCTGCAGCTTATTATTATTTTATCAACTCGCGCCGACAGCAGGGTGGACGGTTCCCGAAACCGTATCAATGCTTCACCATGAAGTTCTTCATAGAGTGAGTCCCTCTATATGAATTCTTTCTTTTTTCTTTCTTTTTTTTTCCCTACTGACGATTTAATGCGCTCTCAGCGATCTCCCCGTCCTCTTCCCGTATCCCCGCATATATCCCGAGCAATATGCCTACATGTGCGATCTTAAGAAGACTCTGGACGCAGGGGGTCACTGCGTCCTTGAGATGCCTTCGGGAACTGGAAAAACCATATCGCTGTTGTCCTTGATTGTTGCCTACCAGCAGTTCTATCCTGAGCATCGGAAATTGATTTACTGTTCCCGGACCATGTCAGAGATCGAGAAGGCTTTGACAGAGCTGAAGGCGCTGATGAAATATCGCTCGCAACAGCTGGGTTATACTGAAGACTTTCGAGCGTTGGGACTCACCAGTCGAAAGAACTTGTGTCTGCACCCATCGGTCAAGAGAGAGAAAAGCGGGACGGTTGTCGACGCCAGGTGTCGAAGTTTGACGGCTGGGTTTGTAAAGGAAAAGAAAGAGAGAGGTGAGGATGTCGAGCTCTGCATATACCACGAGGTTTGTCCCGGTCCAAAATCAATGCGACTGTACCCTAACGGCCTTGGTTAGAACCTTGACCTTCTCGAGCCACATAATCTTGTTCCGCCGGGAGTGTTCACACTTGATGGGCTTATTCGGTATGGAGAACAGCACAAACAGTGCCCGTACTTTTCGGCACGAAGGATGGTAAATTCCCATTGGTCTTGAATCCGTGCTCGCTTCTCAGACCTAACACTTATCCAGATGCCGTTCTGTAATGTCATTATTTATTCGTACCATTATCTTCTCGACCCAAAAATTGCAGAGAGGGTATCCAGAGAGTTATCCAAAGATTGTATTGTGGTCTTTGACGAGGCTCACAATATTGACAATGTCTGCATTGAATCGCTCAGCATCGATATAACGGAAGACTCTTTGCGAAAAGCATCCAGGAGCGCCGCCAATCTCGAGCGCAAGATTGGCGAAATGAAGAGCACGGATGCAGAGAGGCTCCAGAACGAATATGCTAAGCTAGTGGAAGGTCTTCGTGAAGCCGAAGAAGCGAGAGACGAAGAGCAGTTTATAGCAAACCCAATACTTCCTGATGACCTACTCAAAGAAGCGGTGCCTGGAAATATTCGGCGAGCGGAACACTTCGTGGCCTTTCTCAAAAGATTTATTGAGTATCTCAAGATGAGAATGAAGGTCACACATACCATATCCGAAACTCCTCCTTCTTTCCTAGCGCACCTCAAAGACTTGACGTTTATCGAACGGAAACCGCTTCGATTCTGTGCCGAGCGACTGACTTCCCTGGTTCGCACGCTGGAACTCCTTAACCTTGAGGACTACCACTCACTCCAAGAGGTCGCGACGTTTGCCACACTCGTAGCTACATACGATAAGGGCTTCTTACTTATCCTTGAGCCATTTGAATCCGAAACTGCTACTGTTCCGAATCCCGTATTACATTTCACGTGTCTGGATGCTGCAATCGCGATTAAGCCGGTCTTTGATCGGTTTAGCTCTGTCATCATTACCTCTGGAACTCTCTCGCCTCTCGAGATGTACCCGAAAATGTTGGGATTCACGGCCGTTCTACAAGAGTCATACAGTATGACTCTCGCCCGTCGCTCTTTCTTGCCAATGATTGTGACGCGCGGTTCAGATCAGGCGCAGATCTCATCTTCCTTTCAGATTCGGAACGACCCTGGAGTCGTGCGGAATTACGGAAACTTACTGCTCGAATTCTGTCGTATAACCCCTGATGGGATTGTCGTCTTCTTTCCTTCGTATCTCTACATGGAGTCCATTATCAGCATGTGGCAAGGAATGGGCATTTTGGATCAGATTTGGAACTATAAGTTGATCCTCGTGGAGACTCCAGACTCTCAAGAGTCATCTCTTGCCCTAGAAACGTATCGGACAGCATGCTGCAATGGTCGCGGGGCTGTCTTGCTCTGCGTCGCACGAGGAAAGGTGTCTGAAGGAATAGATTTCGACCACCACTATGGCCGTGCTGTTATATGCATTGGCGTCCCATTTCAGTATACAGAGTCGCGCATATTGAAAGCACGCCTGGAGTTCCTTCGAGAGAACTACCGTATCCGCGAGAATGACTTCTTGTCATTCGATGCCATGAGGCACGCTGCACAGTGTCTGGGCCGTGTGCTTCGGGGTAAGGATGATTACGGAATAATGGTTTTAGCTGACCGACGCTTTCAGAAAAAGCGTACCCAGCTTCCCAAGTGGATCAGTCAAGCACTGCTCGAGAGTGAGACGAACCTCAGCACGGATATGGCCGTCGCCACAGCGAAGAACTTCCTCCGGACGATGGCGCAACCTTTCAAAGCGAAAGACCAAGAGGGAATCTCGACATGGAGCTTGGCAGAACTCGAGCAACATGTTGCGAAGCAGAAAGAGGAGCAAGCACGGCTCATGAGAGAGGCGGCAGCCAATGACCAAATGAATAACGGGGCTCATGGAGCCACTGTTCAGAGGGAGGAATTCGATGATGATATTGACGAAGAACTTATGATGTTAGATGCAGACTGATGTATTCTTATTATTATTCATTTTTACTATGGGTCTCTGGCAGCTTTGAAAGCATCTTCAGGCATTGGGTTCTAGAAGAAATCTTTGGAAAGATACCAGATTTGCTATGGGAAAATATACTCTTTCGGATTGGACAAATTCGGCAAATGCTTTCTGCTGTTTTTGTATGTGCAGTACATGCCATTTTCTAGAAACATGCAAGAACAAAACTTTTTCCCACACGACGCAAAATGCTTGTTCAATCAAATCAAAAAAAGACACCAAGCCGACTAGATCATGAACACGTGAAGAAGAGGAAATGCATTTACAGTATATAACAACAAAAATAACGATATGAACAAACTGGACAACGCCAAATAGGACAGAACGCCTTTTCTTTATTTTGTTTCATTAAGGCAGTTAGGCCACTGGGGCAAGAACGTCGAATCCACCCGTACCGACGGTGTTAAGACGACCCGCGACAATCCTGCTGCTGGGGCTCTTGAGATTGTCCCAATCGCGCTCCAGCACAGCCTCCTTCAGGAACCCGACCGTGGTCTCGAAACTCATCTTGGCCAGCGGCGAGGATCCGTCCTTGACAAGGCCGTTGCGGTTGAAGGCGCGGAAGCCGCCGCTGTGCGTCATGACGTCGCCGATCAGGTTGAGATGGCGGTTGTCGACCGAGATGCTGTGGCCCTTGAAGACGTCGTCCATCTCGCGCACAATCGTGGCCCGGGCCGCCTCAACGCCGTAGTAGACCAGCATGTGGTAGATGGAGTTCGTCCGCAGCGAGTGCGGCTTGATGATGTCTTGGTAGTCGCGCATCGCGAGCAGGTTCACACCCTCGGTTTCGACGCACGCGGGCTCGCCTTTCACCGGGTCGGCTTTGACGTAGGTGCACGCGCCCAGGCCGGGGATGGATTGGATAACAGCGCTTCGGGCGGCTTCTTCGACAAGAGGAAGGAGAAGAAGCTTGGGGGTGGAAATGTCGTATTGAAGCTGGATGAAGCACGATGATCCCTTCCTCGGATCAAACTTGAACTGGGTGATTTCTCCGTATCTGCCCTTGATGTCCTCCTCGCGAAGCTTGGCATCCTTCGCTTCCCTCTTGGCCAACTCATCATCATCCGAGTCCTCAGACATCTCCACATCACCCTGGCGTTGAAACTTTCCTTCGTCCTCGTCGTCGGATTCCGACTCCGGAGTCTCTTGTCGTCTGATAATAGCTTGCTCATCCTCGTCAGGCGCTTCGTACGAGACTTGATTGGAACGATTGAGGCCGCTCCTGCTCCTCTTCGCGTCCTCCTCATCGTCTTCGTTGTCCTCATCTGCGGCGTCATCTCGTTCCTCACGTTCAGGTCCCCGAGGAGCTTCCTCGATCGTGCCGACAGACACGCCGATTTCGGGCTGGGCTGCTGAGAAGTTCTTGAGAATCTTCTCATCCTGGCGTTTCTTGAGCTCTGCCTTTGTGAGTCTCACAAGCTTGGGTATGAACTTCGTCTGCAGCGCGATAAGAACGTCTTTGATCTTGATCGCGTATTCTTTAGTATACTCTTCTGCCGGGAAAAATTCGATTTCAATGTCGTATATCTTGGCCCTTGCATGACCGTTGCCGGAAGAGATACGCTCTTTGATCCTCAGCTTGTCAATAACCTCTGCGAGGCTCAATTTGCTGATACCTTTGGCGAATCTCTCGCCTTCCTCTTCCGAAATCTCTTCGTTCAGAATAAGTTTCATCGTAGGAGTCATGATGTTTGTGCTAGCGGTCATAACAATTTCTCGCAATCGAGGAATACCAAGAGTCACGTTCTTGGCCGAGTGTCCTGCCAAGTGGAAGGTGTTCAGAGTCATCTGAGTGGAGGGCTCTCCGATAGACTGGCTGGCAACAATGCCAACAGCCTCTCCAGGATCGACAACTGAATTCATGTATTTCATGTTCATCAGAGTTTCGAATGCCTTCTTGCTCAGGACTCCGTCGATGTTCGCTTTCTTGTCTTTCAGTAGTTTATCGGGATTCGTCTCCTCGTACTGTATGTAAACCGTTAGCATTGTAAACGAGAATGTCATGTGAAAGGGTGAACATACCTTCTTCAGCGCCTGCGAAAAGGCCTCGGAAACACTTCCAAAGTTTCCACCAGGATGATAGCGAGCAAGAACCGGATCCATAGCGTCGAGTTTTCCAGTCTTCTTAACTTTCTTCATCGCCTCTTTGTGCCATGAAACAACCTCTGGCTTCTCCAAGTTATGGTAATCGGTCGTCAAGTTGACTTGAGCCATGATTGAGACGTAGTTTGAGGCGATGAAGCTAAAGTCTCGGAGGTGCACCTGTTTTGTGATGTCCAGACCGTCTTCTCCGTAGAGAAATTGTATAATAGAGCCATCGGAGGTCTCACGGACTGAAGTATCGTATTCAACCTTCAGACCTTCCATTCCCTTGATCAAGCAACGCTGGAGGTATCCAGATCTGGATGTCTTGACGGCAGTATCAATAAGACCCTCTCGACCGGCCATAGTATGGAAGAAATATTCTTGAGGTTTGATACCAGTCAAGAAGCGACCACACACGTATCCTCCAGCCATGGGATGCGTATCAAACGGTCTAAATGAAGGCAACGTCTTGCCACTGACCATCACCGGCACACGTCGGCCCTCAAGAACCTGCTGACCCAGGTTGCAAGAGATCAAATTGGCATTGACGCTTGAACCCTTGGCTCCGGATATCGTCATCGACTGCATCTGGTTCCAGGGGAACTGCTTAGCGAGACCACTCGGGAGACAAGCAGAAGTGATCTCAGAGGTGAGTTTTGCTGTTCGAGCGTTGGAGACGCTATCCAGGCCCGACTGCTTTTCATCATCACGCAAAACATCTTCCAACCGGCGTCGCAGTTCAGCATCCTGGTCAGGTACCGGATTCTGATCGAGGGTCACATATTTCAGGGCCACCTCACGCCCAATTTTACCAGCCTCGGCAAGTTTTTCTCTGCGCCGACGATCGCCTTCCTTGGTCAATCGAAGATCATCGATTCCACAGGTAAATGCCCGCATGTTGAGGAATCTCGTAAGAAGTCGTCCAAGAATACCGATCAGTTTCCCTGCAATGGTGTGACCATAGACTTCGTGAACTGCATCGATGACACCACCGGCAGTGGGACCAAGCTGCTTCTTATCGAGGATACCACAAAGAAGCTCGCCGTCTTTAAAGATGACGTTTCCTTCTTCGTTGCCTTGTCCCCATCTGTCCCCTGGAGTCGAGGATTTCCCTTGGAGATTCAATCCTTCTCGACCTGGAGGAGTGATGTTCTTCAAAATTGTCGAGATAACTTGCTTGCCTGTCCAAAGCCGTCGCGGGCGAATAATGGCGGGCTCGACAAGCTGGATCCTTTCAGAAACAGTATGAGAATTTTCAGGTCGCAGACAGCTGTACAGGAGCTGATGATAGTCTTCCTCATCAAAGAAAGTGTCCCGACTCGTGAACCATGTACCCATGGAGATATGGTCTTGGATCAAACCTCTCAAAGGTTTTCCTGAAGTCGCGACCAGATACTGGTGATCAGCGTCAGCCAGCATCATGGCCTCTGCCCTGGCAATCTCGTTCTGAGGGAAATGCATGTTCATTTCGTCACCGTCGAAATCTGCGTTGTACGTGTTACAGTTGGCGTAGTGCATTCGAATGGTTCTTTCATTCGGGAGAACACGCGCTTTGTGGCCCATTATGGACGGTTTATGCAACGTTGGCTGGCGATTCATGAGAACAACATCGCCCGTGGTAAGATGCCGGTAAACCTTTTTGTTCCGCGAACCCTTCATTTTCCAGTTGGATGGAGCCAATAACTGGTTGGCGAGAGCAGTCCGCTCGTCCAAAGACTTAAATTTAAGACTCACGACCTGCCCCAACTCGTTCTCGATCGCTGCAGCCCCAGGATACTTGTCAGGACCGTTGATGACCGCTTGCTTCATCTCCCAGAAGTTGTGATTAGTGACAGGCTCTGGGTAAGTCAGTTTCTTCGCAAACACAAGCGGTACACCAATTTCATTCGTCTCAAGGTTAGGGTCGGGCGAGATGACGCTTCGAGCAGCGAAGTTCACCCGTTTCCCCATCATGTTTTTCCTGAACAAGCCCTCTTTCTTTTCCAGTATCTGTTTGATACCGTTCGCAGCCTGGGCTGCCGCTGGGCCAGACAGACCGCCTCGATCCCTGTCAATGAGGCTATTAACTGTGTCCTGAAGCGAGACAATCGCTTGAAGTAAATCGCGATAATCTCGTACTCGCGTCGCAGAATCGGCACCACCACTTTGCCTCTCCTTGCTGATCTGGTTAATTATGTCACAGTTCTTGAGAATCTGTGTAAAGGGCGTGTTTTGTTGAGACTCCATGATTTCGTTTGGCCCCTGAACAGAAGCAGGCCTATATTTGTTCGGTGGTACGAGAATATTTTTGATGAAGAACATATCAGCAGTCACGGCGTTCTTCTTTGACGTTGGGCGGGAGTTGTAGATCAGATTGAGCACTTCTCCCTCTTTCTCGAACAGCAGAGTCATTGCAGCATGAACTTCTGGAGAAGGCATGTACTGCTGGCCTTCTCCAGCTGTATCCCCTTTTGCAGATCTGCTCTCCTCCACCTGGGCCACCAAGGCGTTCCCACGAGCAACTTCTTCTTCCGCCCCATGTAGCTCGGTCGTTGTGCTGGCATTATCGTCCTCTGAAGCACCATTCATCATACCATTCTTGAGAGATTCTTTATGCTTGCTGGTAAGCTGTTTCGCCTGTTGGAGGAGAATTAGGGAGTTTGGCGCATGGAACCCGGCTTGTCTCATTGCCTGTTTAGACTTTTCGGGAAGAGGTTTCCTAAATATTTTTGAGAAGCGATCCTTCCGGTAGCTTGGAGAAATGCTATATTACCGCCTCAGTGTCAGCTATCGAGTCAGTGATAACAATAGAGTGATCTTACCCGCTGCAATTTGTGCATTTCTTCACAGAAACGATGTCCTTGAAGAATTCCTTGATCAAGGCTCGCCGGTACTCAGCAGCGACAGGATTTTTAGCACCTGCCAGCAAGCCTTGTGTCTTGCCCTGCGCTTGCGCTTGACGAATGCACCGCTTGACGAACGCATTTCTTCGCTCCATCAGGTCGTCGGCATCTTCGTCTTCGCTGCCGGATTCCTCCTCATCCTTACCCGACTTGCCTCCGGTCTTTTTTAATGACATCGAGTCTATGACAGCGACCTCCTCGACCAGTCCGTATTGCAGAAGGCGCAGTTTACAAACGTAGGCGTTGATCTGAACTCGGGCCAATTGCAGACGGTGGCAGTACACGCATTGAGCCCTGAGGAGGCGATACATTTGATCGAAAAACGTCACATTGTAAACATGTACGGGCAGCTCGATATGTCCGGGATGCCCTGGACAGGACCAGGAGTTCATACGACATGTAGTGCAGCTAAGTAAATTTTAGATTGATTAGTGTTTTTCTCTACTTATTTTCAGAAAAAGTAAAGTTTGAGGGAAATAAATTGCTTACACATGATCGCCCCAAGCACCTAGAGCCGGATCATAGAGACCGCCAGGAACAGGATTGTTGAACGAATCCAAGGTCGGCGTATTGTGAATGCGCTTCACCGAGATCGCCTTTATCTCATCGTCGGAGAAAACACCAAAGTCGATCCCCCCGATGGAGGATGCGACGGGCCGTGCAAAAGTCGCCATGATCCAGAGAACTCGTCAGAGTCCACCACACATGCTGGCCCGTCGCAGAGATTTTTTTATTCTTGCTGCAGTCTTTCCTCTAGAGCAGCGCCAAGCGGAATATTTCGCGGAACGGAAAGCTGCTGGAGAAACTTTTTTGGTAGAGGACTTTTTCTGCCGCCCGACACCGCCTCTGGCCGGGAGCCAACAGAGCAACGCCATCAAAACCTCCGCGCGTCACGTCACTCACCATCTCGCAGCCACAGATACTGTCCTCTCATCACACCAGCGTTACGGCTCCGTTGCTGATCGCTGACCGCTGACTCCGTCCTTCTTTATAGCCTATCCTCCGAGGCGCCAGCAACGGGTTCGGTCTTTGTGGGTGAGTAGAGCCTCTCGCCTCAAACATGGCAGACGTGTCCAGCAACGTGCTGAAAAGGCCTCACCCGGAGGACGAAGAGGTGAATGCGCAGAAAAGATCACGGTCCAACAATGGCTCTCCCATGCCTGGCAGCAATGGCCCGGCCCCGGGCAAGGTCGACATCGACAAGATGGTGGCTGAGGCGCGGGCAAAAGCAGAGGCGGTTCGAGCCCGACTGCAGGCCGCGAGGGGAGGGACTCCCGGGGTAAGCTCATCTGGACCTTCTCCTAGTCCAGCACCCGCTTCAGCCAGTTCGTCCATGTCCAGATTGGAGCAGATGAAGGCAAGAGTGGCAGCGGCGACAGGGAAAGTGAACGCAGCTGCTCAGCAACGGGCGTCCGCCCCGGCTCCTACCTACAAGCCCCCGGCCTACGATGATGAGGGGCTGTCGAAGGCACGAGGTGGCTTGGATATAGGACTTCATCCTGCTCTCCTATCGGACACGATTGATGTGAGAGGCACAAAGGGTCGTCAGGCGGTGCCATCCAAGGCAAATCGCCAGGAGTCACCCGTCCCGGCTCCTAAAGAGAAACCAGGACTGGATTTATCGGGTCCTTCCTTGGAGGAAATGAAGAACAACCCATATTTCGACCCGAACCTTGGCACGAAAGAAATAGCGAAACCTCGCCATTCGCGGCAACTTATCTTCAACCAGAAGGGGAAGTACATACAGCAAGCTGCGGCTTTGCGACGTCAGGCCCAACTGGAAGAAATGAAGAAGCGGATCGCGGAAAGGGCACGTCAAGCTGGTATCGACGAGGACTTGGACGTCGAAAAGGCTTTCATGGTTCCTGCTCCACCTGCCATTGAGTGGTGGGACGAGGGTTTAGTTAACGGGAACGATTACTCTGCTATTGACGACCCCAATAATCTGAAGATCGACACGCCTGATTCCATAATTACTATCTACATCCAGCATCCCGTTCTTCTAGACCCTCCTCAAGACAAACTTATTCCGCCACAGAAGCCAATGTATTTGACAGCAAAGGAACAAGCGAAACTTCGCCGGCAGCGACGAATGGCGGATCTGAAGGAGCAGCAAGCGAAAATCAGACTGGGACTCGAACCCGCGCCTCCGCCAAAGGTCAAGAAATCCAACATGATGCGGGTTCTCGGCGAGGAGGCTGTTAAAGATCCCACCGCTGTGGAAGCTCGTGTTAACCGAGAAATCGAAGAGCGTCTAAGGAAACACCAGGAAGCCAACGAGGCGCGGAAATTAACCAAGGAGCAACGGCGTGAGAAACTCGCGAGTCAGCAGGAGAAAGATGCTGAAAGGGGTATCTACATGTGTGTGTTCCGGATCGACAGCCTAGCAAATGGACGTCATCGTTTCAAAATCAGCAAAAATGCTGAGCAAATGGCGCTCACCGGTTTGTGTGTGATGCATCCAAAGCTGAATCTAGTGGTTGTTGAGGGAGGTGCCCACTCGATCAATCAATATAAGAAGCTCATGCTGAATCGTATCGATTGGACGGAGAACGCCGGCCCGAGCCCGGCGCAAGCAAACAATCGTGAACCATTAGCATCATGGTTGTCCGCGGAGGATGAGAAGGGTGAATTGAAAGATCTTGGATCGAATACCTGTACTTTAATATTCGAGGGTCAAGAGAAAGCGAGAGCTTTCAGGAAGTGGCTGGGAGCCCGGGTTTGCGAGACAGATTCGGCCGCTAAGGACGCTTTGGCACGAGGCAAGATGGAAAACTTCTGGACCTTGGCGAAGAGCTGGAAACCGAGCGGTGCCTAAGGTTGCAGTGGCTGGTATCCTGCGACCTTCCCGATATGAAAAACTGACTGAACAGATTTCCTAGAATAGATGACCTGCATAATATATGTACTGTACTCTGTATCTAATCATCAAGGGGTTTTTCCTTCTGGCGTAGTTATACAGCGATCCTAGCTATTACACTGAACTGAGACTCAGTTCTGTACTGTACAAAATTCAACGCACGAAAAAAGCTGCCACTCCTTCATCTCACAGAGTACCTAACGAAGACAGCCACCAGAAAAAGTAAAAGCAAAAAAAATAAAAAATAAAAAGCATAAAAACTTTTGGTTTATTTTTGCCCCCAAGTTACGCCACTTCCACGAACTTAAACTCCCTTGAAAATGCAATGCTCATAAGCTCATAATTTGGAATTACAGACAGAGAAAATAAGAATGATGAGCAAAAAACAGGGATGAAAAACAAAGGGTGAAGTCAATAAATTTATTTATTTATTTATTGCCCGGAGCCACCTCGTTGCTGTGGTGGTGGAGCACCAGCAGGAGCACCAGCACCACCACTCAGCTGTCGCAGGATATCGAGTTGCGCTTTCACTTGGTCGAACACGTTCGATGTTGGAGGATTCTGTCCTTGGGTGGCGGCAGGGGCAGCAGCAGGGGCAGCTTGGTTCTGTTGCTGTTGCTGTTGTTGTTGCTGCTGCTGCTGTTGCTGCTGCAGGGCAGCTAAGAACGCCGGATTAATGTGCGCGCCAGGCGGGGATCTGTGCATATGGATTTGGCTGGAATGGCATCTGGATCGGGAACTGAGGGAACTGAGGCATGGAGACGGGAAGTTGGCCGTACGGCTGAGGCTGCTGCTGCTGTTGCTGCTGTGGATAGAAGGCGTACGGAGAAAATTGCTGCGTTGGAACATTGGGGGCATTGAAAGCAAATGGCTGTTGTCCTTGATAGGGAGCAGCAGGCTGAGAAGGTTGAGCCGGGGGTTGTTGCTGATTCACCGGCGATCCTTGGCCACTTCCTTCGCGACCTGGTGGATGGTTCGATTGACGATTGCTGTCTTGCGAATGATGGTTGCGATGGTGATCCGAACCCCAAGAGCCTCCTCTATTATCACGACCTCCTCCTCCTCCTCGACCCCGTCCAGACCCTCGATCGAAGCCTCGACCTCTACCACCCCGGGACCCTCGATTAGAATGCGGTGCTCCTTCGACCGGCGCCTCCTGATTGCCCACCACCTCGTGGTAATTTTTGGGTCGCGCCAATGGAGTGTACCCATCCTCTCCTGCTCCAGCTTCATCGTCATAGTTAAGTTCAGTCTGACTGAGCTTTGAAGGACCAGGAGGTTCTTTCTTGGGCCTTCCAAAGCCACCAGGCTCGCCCTTAGCAGTATCCTTCTTTTCTTTGCGCTTCTGCTTTAGTTTCCGCTTATGTTCCGCCTCGGCTTCGTCATCCGAGAACTCGATCTCATCTTCGCCAACCTCTTCGTCATGGAAGTTAGACGCATCACTGCCCTTCATACCCTTTAGGGGTTGTGTAAACACGAAAGTGGAGTGGCTCTCCACGTAATAGATCGGTTTACCATGCGACAAACCAAACTCGGAGATCTTGGCAGGGTCTTGAAACCGGATGATATAGAGCGGTTCCTCCACCCTGCCCAGCGTGTCTGCTACGACACCGATGACCGTCCGGTCCTCCAAACACAGGACAGAATTTGCTTCAAGCACTTGGTACTCCCCAGAGGTGACGGCTTTGATGAGGACCACATTCTCGACGATCGTCTCCACATGGCCAAGCAGGACGATCTTCATATCAGGGGTAACAGTTATATCGGGTATGGGAAGAGCCTCCTCTGGTAGCTCATTCGCAGTCCTAACATGAGCCCCTTTTGGATCCATCTTCCCATCCTCGTCATCTGAGCCGGCCTCCGCCTGCATCAGGATTCGAGCGGTTTCTTCGGCGGAAAGGATTGGATAGTCCCCATCATCCTCATCGCTATCGTCCGAAGACGATTGAATAGGTGACGAGTCGGTCTCCCATTCTGGATGTTCCTCCTCGTCCTCTTCTTCGTCGTCTTCGGATGAATCCTCGGATGAATCCTCGGAAGAACTGTCTTCTTCTTGGTCCGTACCCTGATCATTTCGAGAATCGTCTCCATTCGGAGCAGCATTCTCAGCATCCACTTTATTTCCATTTGTAGAAACAGCTTCATCCGCCATCATGGCATCTCCGGATTCTAATGCGTCACCTTGTTCCTTGGTTTTGATCGTTTCAGCGCCTTGGTTGATTTCGTCGGTTTCACCATGAGGATGTGGCTCAGTTCCCGTCATGTGTTCATCATTTGCAGAAATTGCTTCATTTTTGGTTCCGTCTGGAGCACTGGGGCCGCCATCGACGGGTTCAGGAGCTTGAATACTGTTATTGAAAAGTGATAGCCCAGGGATGACAGTCGCAGACTTCGGAGGGGTCGCGGGTTCACTGTGGTCAGTAGACGCAACAGCACCAGATGTATTCGGATGAATAGGAGTCCCAGCTGTCACAGGAGTGTTGTAAAAATCACTGCCATCATCTCCAGGCGTCAGCGCAATGTCCTGGACAGCAGTAGTTGATGGTTGAGTGTTGAGACATGGTTTTTTCGAAGGAGGCTCGTCCGGAGCTCCCTGGGGACCTCCTGGTAATTTATTGAGATCTGGCTGATCAGCCATATTAAGTGATGACTCAACAGGAGGTCATAGGAAGGACAAAACGAAGAATCGTTCGGTCGCAGCAGGCATTACGATTCAAATAAAGAATGGTGGCGGATATTTTTTTGGCGGAGTTGCTCCACTAGCCGCTCCGGCCGCGGAGCTCTACAGGAGCTGTCGACACGATGCTGGTAAACGCGACAGACGCAACCAACCAGGACACCAGCGTCCAATTGTCTAGATTTATTATAACTCAACCACGAGATGTCGAGCTCAAGAAGGGGGAATGTCGATGTTCCCGCTGAGGCGCAAGGAGCTTCGCGCAATAACCCCAGGTACGTCACTCTCATCACTGCAGTTGACAATGTTTCCGATACTAATACGTGTTGTGGTCGCAGGCCAGGGCCAACCATATTCTATCTCCCGCTGAATGTGACCTTCTACGTGTTTCTCATATCCAATGGACTCGCTGCTGCGTATGCGCCCATTCAAGATTGCGACGAGACCTTCAATTACTGGGAGCCGGCACATTTCCTCGACCATGGCTACGGACTCCAGACGTGGGAGTATTCCCCCGAGTACTCCATCCGAAGTTGGCTGTATATCCTCCTCCACGCTGTGATTGGCAAAGTGAGCTCGATCTGGAGTCCGCGAAAGACGGTACAATTTTATGCTACTCGCTTTGCACTGGCCTTCATCTGCGCGGCGTGCGAGACCCGTCTGTATTCGGCCATCTGCCGGAAACTCAACCCCCGAATCGGACTGCTGTTCCTGATGATCGTCGCGTTTAGCCCAGGCATGTTCCATGCCTCTGCTGCTTTTCTGCCGTCCAGTTTTGCCATGTACTCGTCTATGCTAGGTCTCGCAGCCTTCTTAGACCGGCAACGGAAACGAAAGACAGCAGAAGGGATCATGTGGTTCGGTGTGGGTGCTATTCTTGGCTGGCCCTTTGCTGGAGCATTGGTGATACCTTTTCTGCTTGAAGAAGTCACTGTCTCTTTCTTCACTGGCAACATGCGAAACGTGGTCGAGGAAGTCCTCAACGGAGCAATCAGATGCTTGTTAATTTTGGTAAGCTTCTCGTCGTCAAAGGCTCCCCGTTGCACGAATGTTGTGCTGAATAGAACAGGCTCTGGAGATTGCTGTTGACTCCTTGTTCTTCGGCAAACTCGTCGTTGTGCCTTGGAACATCGTCGCATATAATGTCTTCGGGGGCGAAGGCAGGGGTCCCAACATCTTCGGTACTGAGCCTTGGACGTTTTACGTTCGCAATCTACTCCTGAATTTTAACGTCTGGTTCGTCCTGGCCGTGTCCATTGCACCGCTGCTCGTGCTGCAGGCGCCCTTCCGGTCTCGTACGGCAACTTCTAGCGCGACACTCCTACGATCCCTTGCCTTTGTCTCCCCATTCTACGTTTGGCTCGCGATCTTCACGGCCCAACCTCACAAAGAAGAGAGATTCATGTATCCCGCGTACCCTTTCCTCGCACTCAACGCAGCCCTTGCGTTTCACCTGATACTTTCATATGTTGGGTCCAGTGAACCGGGACAGTTGATGGCACGCATCCCAGCGAAACTCAAACTTGTTGCGGTTGTATCTTTTGTTCTGCTATCGATCAATGCTGGGCTGCTGCGAATTTTGGGGATTGTCACAGCATACGATGCTCCTCTTCACGTATACGGAGCCCTCGAAACGCAGGGCATAGGGAAAGAGGGAGATTCTGTGTGCCTGGGGAAGGAATGGTATCGCTTCCCATCTTCATTCTTCCTCCCAAAGGATATGCGAGCCAAGTTCGTGCGAAGCGAGTTTCGGGGGCTGCTGCCTGGGGAATTCCCCGACAGTGAAAACATCCAGGCCCTCCTGGCTGGCGCATCCGCTATTCCTACGGGTATGAATGATCTGAACCAAGAAGACCCAAGCAAATATGTGAGTTTCCTACGTAGCGTGCTTGATTTTCCCCTCTAATAAGTCAAATAGGTCGACATTTCTCAGTGCTCGTTCCTCGTCGATTCCTCCTTTCCTGGAAGTCCTGCAAGTGAACTGGAGCCTGATTACATTCATGACGAGGGCAACTGGGAGAAGATATCATGCGAGAATTTCCTGGATGCCTCCCGAACCAAGACCCTGGGCCGAATTGCCTGGATTCCTGAGTTACCATTGATTCCGACGCACTACCGCCGTCAATGGGGACAGTACTGCCTCCTTCGGCGACGAGGCAACGACACAAACAGCGCCGTAGAGTGAATGTGAGGCTCGGCATTACTAAATACACAGACAATCGCATCGCAGGTCGAACCTGCATCTGTATACCAGGATACGGTCTTGGACCCGAAGCTATCTTGCCTCGGACAAGGCGGCGTGTGGTCTTGCCAAATCGGGATAAGAAATCCAGCAACTCCGCATCGCCAACGCAAGATAACCAAGATTGGCACAGTACATGCCTATCAACGATATGCACGATAAGAGCGCATCGAATGACCCATCCCGTATGGGTTCCTTATCGTCAGGGCTATCGCACTGGATATCCATATCGAAAATAGGCACAGCAGATCATCGGTCTAGACAACCGCATTTGGCAGCCAGCATGGAGGTCGCTCATATTTCCATCAGTTTCCTCACACACGACAGATTCAACTTCTCTGGCTGTCTCTTTTTCTGTAAATTGTATTTTTATTGTTACTGTTGAAGATCTTCTAGCCATACTGTTATGGATAGTAGAGTCTGCCACGTCTCCAAATGAAGGAAATAACAGCCCTGTTCCCACAGCTTGTGAACCAGTATCACTTGAAAGATGTTGCCATTGGTATTCTTCTAGTCAACATCTGCATCTGGTTTACATTCGCAGTCATCAAACGGTTTCAATCCAGACATCTCTCCGCCAGCAGACCGTCAACCCCGGATGTCGAAAAGCCTGCGAAATCAAAGCAAAACAACAGAAAATATGGAGGTAAAAAAAACCCATCGTCTCACAGACAACTCTCCATCTCACAGATGCTAATGCTGTATGTTCTTTTTTATGAAGAGTGGATTCCGTCCGATTTCAAACGCCCTACACCAGCTCCATATCCGAACTGGGATGTCCGCACGACCAAGCCGATTCCCTATCGTCCTTTCAGATACGGGCCGTAAGTTTGACGAGGCTGGTCGAGATGATGAAACATCTAACTGTCATTTGACAGGAAGTACTATGTCACGATGGGGTTGAGGAGCATGAAATGGGATGAGTGGATCGGTATATCCCAGCCCCCAAGCGTGGGCATTTTCTTATGCCTTGGACGTCTTCTAATACGAGATGTATAGAACTCGACAATCACTACCCTCGTTTCCACGCCGACAAGGCCCGTCGGATCAAGGAGCGCGGTCACAAATGCTGCAAGACGGCTCCGGAGGCGATGGATGCAGCGATCGAGCTGTTGGAGGAGTTGTACGTACATCCCCTTCGTCCTCGCCAGTTTGATCTAACGCCAGCAGATGCTCGTATCTCCCCGCACGGTACCCTTCCATGTTCAGAAAGACCGACGTGGGCATCGACAACCTCTTCACGGGCGAGTCGTTCAACATCGTACAGCGGCCCCTGCCCGAAGACCCCATGATCACATCCGCGCGGCTGATCCAAGACGACCTCGCGCTGATGATCGAAAAGGAAGACGGACAGTACTACCTCCTCGCAGGTGCAATCCTCCTAGCAGGATTCTGGCGCCTGGAAGATAAATTCGGGATGCCGCTGTCAGAAATCCACACGTCGGGGGACGTGCCTCAATTCAAGGAGAAGCTCGAGAAAGGAATGATCAACTTCTTCCGCCGGCTCCGCCCCGAAGAGCCCGTGCTCCGCAACAACTACTTCATCCAGGTCGACGACAACCTCGCGTGGTCGCACAGCATCGGGCCCGAGGACAGCCCCGACGTGAGCTGGAACACGGCCGAGAAGAACCGCGCCATCGAGCACCACTATTTCCGGTCGGAGCGGCAGTCGCTGCGCCGCCTGCCGCGATCGGGCGCTATCGTCTTCACCATCCGCACGTATTTCGAGCCCATCACCGCCATCGCCGAGGAGCCGTATGTGCCCGGTCGGCTGGCCTCGGCCATCCGCAGCTGGGGCGAGGATGTGTCGCGGTATAAAGGGAGGGAGAAATATGAGGAGGTCCTGCTGGAGTATCTCGATAGGAAGCATGCTGAGCAGGTTGCTGCGGGGTTGGATCTTGAGAAGGAGGATGAGGTTAGGAAGTATCCGTATTGATTGATCGTTCAAAGTTCAATTTCACGGCAGTGGGCTGCAGCAGTATAGTACGGTATATAGTGGAAGTTACTTCTTTACCAGCCTGACTTGTCTGTACCTATTAAAAATAAGCGCAATGGAAAGTTTCATTTCTCTTTCAATTTTATGCCCAGAAAGGCACTGAAATGACAGAATGAGGATAGACTGAGTCTTAATAGTTACTAATTATCTGCAATGTCTATCCAATGTGAACGGACTACCTGACTATCTAGGAGACTAGAGTATGGAGTACTAGAACTAGACTGGGAAGAAACTTAAGCCTTGAGAGGGGAGCAGAAGGGGAACAATATCATAGGCTTGGGCCTATGTAAGGAGACTAGGTATAAACAATCTAAAGGTCCTAAGAAGATTGAGCTCGAGAATCATATATCGTATATAGTTTTCTTTAGTGCGCTACAAATGCCACTCCAATATCTATATACATAAATGCATCTAGTACACCTGGAACAGTCCAGTACCAGATCATACAATAGGCCAGATGCCAAGATTGAAATGAAGTAATCGAACAGCCCCAACGCCAGACGCCATCCGATCCAATGAAGTGCAATGTGAGAACAGACTTCCTCGCCTTGCATGACAGGCCCTGGGGAGCCTTATTTGCGGGCCATTCGCCCAGCAAGGAAACAATACTCTCTGAGTTGATACAGCCCACTTAGGGTGTTAAGCTGTCGCTGCTTCGAGCAACTCGGCAGCCGTCTTCTTCGACCGTCTCCGCCGCGTCGCCAGCTCCTGCTCCTTGTCTCGACGCCAGCTGCATTCCTCGCGGAACTCGCAGATGCGGCACTTCCACGCATCCATGACCTCGACACCCCGCGGTGCCCGCTCGCCGCGCCACCAGCTCATCTGGTCGGACACATACGACGTCAGGGTGGTCGGGTCGAAGAAAAAAGAACGGCTGCCCAGCACCTCGGGCACACCGCTGTCCGTGTCTGCCGAGGAGAGGTATTTCGCTGTCAACAATGGCGAGAGCACGGTCGGGTAAGGTTCGAGGAAGGCAGGCTGCGAACGCGAGGGAATAGACGGAGAGATGAAAGCGTTGTTCGGCGACGGGAGGAACGTCAAACGGAGCTGGTCCTTCATCAGAGCCCAGAGACTAGCGAGATTGTTATGGGCAAGCAGTATGCTGGTCGAGTCTTGGCTCGCGGCTGGTATCGATCCTGACCCAGGAGACAACCGGGAACCCGACTCCTGAGAGGCCGGTGGTACGTAGTCCGGATCCGATGCTTGTGAAGAAAGAGCGTCGAAGAATTGGTCGTTCAAGCCTCCTACTTCGGCGATGAAGGCATCCGTGAACGTGCGTTGCGAGTCCAGATCGTAACGCTGGGCTATTGCTTCTATAGTCACATCGTCGCTAGTGACTAGGCGATTGAGCATATGGTAATAAAGCTGCAGTTGCAGATGAGTGGGCCGGAAGGAAGAGCTCGAGACGGTAGGGATCGAACGACTGGCACGCGTCTTGATATCAGTAATGTAGATCCTCGGAATGTTCAGAAAGGCTTGTTGTTCCTGGTCGACAGAGTCTTCCCCTTTTCCTTCCGCAGACTCGGCATCTCCTGTCCAGCCCAGCTCAGCGAATTTTCTGCCCCCTCGCGATGGCGAAAGCAGATAGTCCGTGAGGGACATCTGGTACTCCGGTAAAGCCGCCCTCGCAGCCTGGGCGTCCTCGTAGTAAGCCGCAGCCGACGCCTCCAGTTCGCGGTCCGGACACTCGTAGGAAAGCTGGTCAATGACGCCCGTGACGATCTCATCCTCGACAAGACCCCAGATCTCCAGCTCCCGCGTCATCCCGTATTCCCGCAGCGTGCGAAGGCCCTGGATGACGTTCCAGATCCTCAACGCCCAGCCATCCTCCTTGGTCGTGATCTCGACCGGCACCGTGGTGTGGACTTCCTCCTCCAGAGTTTTGTGAACGGCGCTCCCCTGCTTCATCGCCGCCGTTCTCCTCTTCCTGCCATGTTTGGTCAGGGTATACCAGTACTGCAGCTCGCACCAGGCGGGAGCAATCAGATCGGAAACCGAGAGCGATTTATTCGGAGGCTTTCTGAAACGCTCAAGTGGCGACAGCTGCGCACTGGCAATGCTGTCCGAAGCAGAGCCATCCGCATCGCCGTGCGTCGTCCAGTCGTGCTCGCGTGCCTGCTGCTTCTCCAGATCCCGTTGTCTGCCTTCGGTCGAGCTAGGATGTTCCACTAGACGCTTAGGTAGTCAGAATGTTAGCCTTCCTCAAATGGCCCCCCCTAGAAGAAAAGAGACAAAGGAGTCGTACCAGCCGCGGAATCAGGGTGCCCTGCAGCCGAACCTGGTGGCCGTCTACCCGAGTTTTGGGATAGTGGCGCGCGTTTGCTTGACGGACTCCAGGCCTCGCGACCAAACACCTTAGGTGCGCGGGGAGGCTGCGGAAGAGCATAGTCTTCAATGTCCGTGACCACCGGAGGCTCTTGCGCAGGCTGGAGGTCAGTCAGGGCACTGGCCGGAGGAGTGTTTGGGGGGGTTGTGGCCGTGGCCGTGGTCGTGGTCGCGGTCGGCTGCTGCGCGGTGGCGACCTGGGCGAGCAATTCGTTCAGCAGCTCTTCCTCATCGGGAGTGAAGTCGGATCCGTAATCGCTGCTGCTGCTGCTGCTGAGATCTTGGAGCCCGTCCCCGACCCGGATCTGCGTATCATGGCAGGACATGCCTGCAGATTAGAAAAACGAGGCCATTGCATTCATGCGACGCGTGGGGTGTCGCATGCGATTAATCAATTAAACTGCCGAGTCTGACGCGTGACTGGCGTTTGTTGCAAGAACCAATGACGTGTGCTGTATTTGTGCTCAAGCCGCTGCTTACCATTATCTCGCCTCTACTGTAAACTATTATAAGACAAATATTTCTTGTATGATTAAAAAGATCTATATTTTGCATTTATCTATGCATCTATAAACTGTCGAGCCAGCCTGCTGAACCGACCACCCGTGAAGCCAGAAGTCTATATCTGAGAAAGAAAATCCCTGTCGAAAGCCCAACATAAGAAAAGAAAAATGCCAAATGTATTAAGAGCATCGACATGCTCGAAGTGGCAACATCACTACGTCTTCAAGATGGCCTGAGTGACACTGCTCTCTGTGGTCAGGGCTCGAGGAGCCCCCAGGGGTTCCGCAGCTACAGCTGCAGCTGCAGCCTCAGCAGCTGCGACTTCTCGCGCAGCCTTCTGATTGAGCCAGCTCAGATACGTCTGCCATCCAACCGCGACGCTGCCGCCGAACACGGAGCGGAAATGCGGAGGCACGTACATGAAGCTGAACGCAGTCACCGCCGGCCAGAGCTTCACGCTGTTCTTGATACTGACCGGAACGGCCCTCTTCACCCGCTCCCACGTCTCTTCCAAAGTTGCTCCGGCCAAAAGAGACTGCATGCTGAAGAAGTACGTGTTGAAGACTGGGGTGAAAACGGCTTGCTGGACCGAGACTTTGGTCAGGATCGAGAGGAATTTCGACGAATAGTTAAAGGTGTGGTGCAAGAACATGAACCTGGAACAATCCATCAGGATAACTCTTTTTGTCTTGTAGCGATCGATTCCTGTCAACCGTACAGAACATGTCCAAGAAGCTTACCACTTATAAGAAGGGATGCTAGACACAAGACCCACGGTCAAGTGTCGAAGGGTCCTCAAAGGGTCATATCCTCCAGGTTTCCGCTCACGTCCTTCGCCTTGTTTAGCAGCAGCGGTTTCCTTGCTATTATCCCTCCCAGACTCAACCGCCTTCACCTCCGTCGGGAAAAGCAGCTGAGCGCTCAAGTCTCCACACAAGTATATCACAAACGAACTGGCGACTTGTGTGACGTAGGGCCGTCTCTCTTGAGCTCGTGTGTACCACCTACCAAACCTCCCAATC